TACGATCAAAGTGCAGATGGATTGGCTGGGGCCCGTGACGAGATCCATGAGCCGGGCGCAAAGAACACCACAGCCATAAATAGCCTCTCCCATCAACTGGAAACCACCCTGATGATGCCGGCAGTTGCCGGCGAAAGCTTGGTATTTTAAATTTATTAAAACTTTTTATAGTTTTATAATTTCCTGGTGTTCTTGCATTTATTGCTAGCTAAACATGAGTTTACCCAGGAATCACCTTTTTATTTTTAATATTCTTAAGAACATGTGTGTGTGTGTGTGTGTGTGTGTGTGTGTGTGTGTGTGTCTTTGGTTATTCGGGTTTTCTCCCGCGTAAAATTGGAAGTGTCTTGGCAACGTTTCGACAAAGTCCCATTCGTCATCTTCAGGCTGGTGTTTTCAGCTTCGTGCTCTCGAAGCACGAAGCTGAAAACATCAGCCTGAAGATGACGAATGGGACTTCATCAAAACTTCGCCAAGACACTTCCAATTTGACGCGGAAGAAAACCCAAATAACCAAAGACTACATACATGCATACATATATACATAGTTTTTCTGCTGGAACATACCACCAGAATGAAAATTAGTTAATTACATAACACATTTATTATTTACTTATTTAAAATCTTTATCTGGCTGACCATCTTCTAACCAACCTAGGCAGCTGCCAATTAAGTCAAAGCAACATATAAAGCCATAGCAAAACTATAAAACTAAACACATTACAACATTAAAAACAACAAAACCTTTTTTATTATTTAAAAAAAACCCCTCATGTTCTTGGACTTATCCTTTTAGAGACAGACAACCTAATGCCCTTCAGATATATGGGCCTTTCACCTGCAATAGCCAAACTAGTTTGGATAATACCAAATGATTGTGGCTATTGTCAAAATTGTTCTTCGCTAAATTATATAAGGATGAAATGCCCTGAAACAGAAAGAAGTTACATACAATTCTCAAGGTCAAAGATTTTTCTCTGCAGTGGTTTCATCTGTCATTTGCCCAGGTCATTTGTGCAGAGAAATAGGAAAATTCTCCTTAGAATCCCCTGTAAGCTGGCATGTAGGTTTCAAGAGAAAAAACTATAATGGAAGCCACAGTAGGTCACACAAGAAGAGTCATTCTACAGAGTTCGGCAGATTTGGAAAATAAGAGGATTAAATTGTCAAGTACGTGAATAGATGAAGGTTTTGTGTGTTTGTAAAACTAACAAAAAGAGAATATAATTAACTGGGATGAAAGTAGAATGATTTTATGTAACTGATGAATTCACTCAAGGAAAGTGTATAAATTATTCTGAGGACATACAATAGCAGGACATATCAAAATAGGAATCTGTTAGTGATAATTGCATGTTACAATAAAACTGCCCAGAATGCTGCATGAAAAAATATTCTATTAGATGGCATGAACTGTTATTGGGATTGCATGAGAGAAAACAGTAATGTTGACACTAGAGGTGTATTGATTTGGGAGATTAAACCGTGTGGACACTTGTATTCAGTAAATGTTAATTTGATATAATAAAGAATCTGGATCTGGAAATAAAAATCTATATAAATGTGATAAAGCAGGGATGGTGAACAAAGATAAAAAGGCATAGAATGACAAAATTAATAGTGTTAGTATAAATTACCTTTGGTCATTTTGCTTTGCTTTTATTTTCCTTTAATATATTTTGCTTAGTAGCTATGTTCTGTACTTTGTATAATGTTCCTTCTAAAGAAAGGAACAGCATGATAGATGGGATTTTTTGTCATCCATAGCAAAGCTAGTCCAATCCAGAATTTACCCTTTCTACATCTGCTTCTCAAGTAGTAAGTTTCTGTTTAGTTTCAAGAGATAGTTTCAAACCGTCTCTTAAAGTCAAAGAAATTAGGAGCAGCTGATGAAATATTTTCTATGGAAACTTCTGAAATGTGGAAAAAGAAGAGTTTAATGAAAATGTACATTCCTGAAATGCAGGTGATACAGTCTCCACTTTGCTTTATAAAAGACATAACTTGTTTTTCCTTCCCAACTTTTGGAAGGTGCAAGCTGTCCATCAAATAAAAACATAATATAATACATCATTGGTGATACAATCATTTAAATTTTTAAACCTGAAAAATTCAGGATTGAGGTGCTGGGGTTTCCACATAAAACTAAACAACTTATTAGATCCTCTTTTTTTCCAAATATAATATAGGCTAGCACCATTTTCCCTCTCTTCATGACCTGCAGCAGAGCCCTGATGAAGTTGCCTCTTCCTCCTCCACTGACTGGCAAAATTGCCTGTCACTTTGCTGTTGGAAGAGGGACAAAGGAGCCAGCATGTCACCAAGGATCATCTCGCCAGGAAGGAAGAGGGCTCACTTGTCAACAGCCACCACCACCCTGCTAATCCTACCTCAGCAACAGGCATCCGAGTCATTCCCTTGTCTTTCCCTCACTACCTACCACCATTAAGAGATTTCCATTTTCTGGCTGCCCAAACAGCAGCCAATCACTATTCACTCATTGGAATTTGCCGCCAGCTGACTGGGCACAGGACCAGAGGGAGGCAGGAATGTCCCTCCCATCTTTCCTTGTGATATACAACCTATGTGTTGAAAAGTGTAGTCAAATATTATGATCACATGACTGCGGCTAATTGTGGGGATGCTGCAGGGGCCATCACTTTGGGGATATAACTTGGGTGAATATCCTTAAATTTTCAATTACATGAGACTAATGAGTACTGGATTTTGAGCATATTTTTAAGGTAGCCCATTTGGGGTTCCTTGATTTAAAAACTGTTGCCCTATGATGCACTTTGTTACCCAATGAAGGTTACAAACAGTGTGTAACAAATAGTAAATATCAATAGTCCATTGACAGCCTAAGCAGGAGGATGCAAATCAGCACCCTAAGTAGCTGCTTTTCTTCCTCAATCCACTAGCTTTCTAGCATTAGAAAGGTTTGTTACTAAAGAAAAGTGTCTGTGCCTGAGAATAGAGCAGGGATATATGCAGGTCCGTCAGGTCCATCTTCAAAGGTGATGACTTAACACAAAAGGATGGATGGGAGAGGGTGAAACAGAGCAATCTAATATCAATCAAGTAACAGAATAACAGTAAGAGTTGGAAAGGTATACGCTCAAAACTGGAGGAATAAAGGAATTCCAACAGAAGAAGAGATTTTATATAAAATTTTATCGTGTGCTGAAATGGATAGGCTCACAATGGAAATGAAGGATAAGACAGAATCAGACTACTTTGAAATCTGGGACAAATTTTATTATTGGGGTGAATTAAGGAGAACTGCTCAGGTTTCAAGTTAGTGTTAAGATAGAAATATATATAACTATATACATAACTGTATTGTATAGAACAGTGATTCTCAACCTTTCTAATGCCGTGATCCCGTAATACAGTTCCCCATGTTGTGGTGACCCCCAAGTGGGTGTGGCCACCAATAAGAGGGAGTAGGACAGCTAGGGAAAAGGGAAAAAAATGGCGGACAGCATGGTTTGGTGACCCCCGTGAAATGGTCATTCGACCCCAAATGGGGTCCCGACCCACAGGTTGAGAACCACTGGTATAGAAGAATAAGTTTATATAGAGATTAAGAATGATGTATTAATTATATGTATTAAGAGGAACAAATTGTTAGGAATATTTATTCTGGAATGTCACGTTATGTCCGTTTTTGTTTTAACTGTATTATAAATAAAAAACTTTAAAAAAAAAAGAGTTGGAAAGGACCTTGAAGGTCTTCTATTGGACAAGTGGCTGTCCAATCTCTTCTTAAAAACCACCAGTGACGGAGCACCCACAACTTCTGGAAGCAAGCCATCCACTCGTTAATTTTTCTCAGAATCAAGAAATTCTTTTTATTTCTAGGTTGGCCCTCTCCTTGATTAGTCTGCATCCACTGCTTCTTGTTCCTTCTTCAGGTGCTTCGGAGAATAGGTTGATCTCCTCTTCTTTGTGGCAGTCCCCTCAAATGTTAGAATGCTATACATACATTGTATGTACAATATATATAGTGATGTATACACTGCCATGTTAAAAACAAAACAACACAGCATTCTTTTTCTTCTTCTTGCCTACCGTGGCAATGAAAAAAATGGCATGAAAGAAAATAATGGTCCAAAATAATGTCTTAAACACTGGGGGGGGAAATTCAAAGCACCCCAAAGCACCATCGGAACAAGCTTCTGAATCAACTGTCTCGGCCAGGGGAAAGAGACTGGAATTGAACACAGCTTGGAGTCAGCTTGGCTCGTAGGAGCCAAAACAATCTTTTGCTGCCAAAGCAAATGAACCATTTCTGGCAAGGAAAAATCCAATCCATCTTTGAGAGAGAAAAGAGGTCATAGAGAACTTGCAAGGGGGCGGCCTTGTCTCAGGTATCTGCTGATTTTAGAAACAAATTGTATGCACAGAGAGAAGTGGGGGGTGGGGAGAGGATTATTTTGGCGGTGGCGCTGCTGTTTTGAAAAAAAAAACCTCAAATGGCAATCTCCTCGTTATTTAATTTTTGGATGGCTACTCAACCATTTTATACACCAGGCATTTGGCAGCAACAGAATGTGACTTTCCCTCCCATTTATTATTCTTACCTATTTCCACTGCATCCAGTATTTGTATTTTGTATCCTAAAAGTTACTGTTTTTGACATTTACATCATTCCTGACAAGCTTAAAACAATATTATGAAATTATCTCTGAGTTCATTACTAAAAACGAAAATCCTTTAACAAGTTTATGATCATCACAAATGCAGGATTGCCAAGCATGAGTGTTGAATATTTAAAAATCCAAGCTAGAAGTTATGTAAATAAGGGCAGTGTCAATTATTGATATTTAAGAAAGAACAGAGGAAGCAAATCTGGCATAGATCAGTTAGTAGAAAGGAGACTTCATTATTTCTAATAGTTACAACCTGCCATTCCTATAATGACATAAAATCAATTAAAAATGAAAGAGGGGAAAAAACAACCATAACAATTGTTTTAAAAATAGCAACACAAATACCAAAAGCAGCAACATCAGGGCTGTGATAGTAGATCCGAGATACAGATGAGTTTCAGATGCGTAATACCACACTGGATCCTTGGCAGGAAGGATGAGGGCGTATTGGTTCGAGAAATGGCGGTAAGAAATGATAATTGCTGCAACAGACAATATAATTTTAAAATCCAGAACAAACTTTTCTGAATTTATTGTATGGCAGTTACAAAAGAATAAAGGAAAATGAAATAGATCTTTACAGCAATAAAAAAAAACGAAAACCAAAATACCATTGTATTTTTCTTAAGACTTCCAGATGTTCACTGCTACAAAAGCGAAACAATAGTCTTCATTTTTGCTAGAGGTAATAGACTGAAAGGCTAATAGTGATAAAGGTTGTAATCAATTATTATTAGAACTTGAAGTCCTAAAATAAATTAAATAAAGGTCAAAAAAAATATTGTGCAATAATTTGGTATAAACAAAGTTAATGAAAAAGAACTGTCCTTCACTTATGTTGTGGTTTTTGCTTTGAGTTTTAAAAAAAAATTAAAAACAGTATTTGTTCTCTGAAGCTTCTACATAATGTAGAGGTCCAGATGTTTTAATAGCCAAATACAAGCCTTCTGCGTTCCTTGCTTTCATTTTTTCCTTTCCAAACAGATTACTGTTGGCTGTCTTTTTTTCCCTTGGCAATCCTCTTTGTCACTCCACTGAAATATTTCTCACGAAAGGAATCATGACATTTGTACTGCAGATACTGGCTATCCAATATTTGAGAATTACAGTCGTCCTCCTATAAAGGATTAAAAGACATAGTGAAGACATAAAGCATACATTGCTATATCTTGAGATGCTAGAAGAGCTCAAACTGCCAGACTATGACAACAGTACTAATTCTTTATTGTTTAAATAAAGGCAGCCTTATCCCGCCATGCATTTTTTAAAAAAAATTGGTTGCTGATTCTTTCAAAGATTGGCTGATGATGATGATGATGATGACAGTAACAACAAAATGGATTAGGGTCTCCTGCATGAGCATACCTTCTCATCCTGAGAAGACTTGCATGATATATGAGTTGAATGTAAAACAGTCATTTTAACTGACACCCCACTCTACCCCATTCTAGGAGTTTAAATTACTCTTCGTAATGTACAGAGGGAGACCTATGATACTTCCTGGTTTTACATGCTAGTTCAGTTGTTTTAATGTCCTGCTGATAGGGCTTCCTTATTTTGTGCATTATTTATTTAGTGTGAGCCAAAAAGCAAGACAGAATTAATTCTATTAGTAAATACATAATAAAAAACATAAGTGTCTTGTTAGTGTGAAGCACTGCCCTAACAGAAAATATTAGTGCGCAGTTATAAAATTATGCTGGAAACACTGCGTATCTGAAGACATTAGACTCAATTTAATAAATTATTGTTTGTTAAAGTTCGGATCTAGGTGAGCGTCAAATTTTTATACTCCCTCCTTTAGAAACCCTTTTCTTTTAACTTAAACTTAGAAGGAAAATAAACCAGAAAAGAGGAAAAGTAAAGTAAAGTAAAAAGAGGAAGGAAGGAAGGAAGGAAGGAAGGAAGGAAGGAAGGAAGGAAGGAAGGAAGGAAGGAAGGAAGGAAGGAAGGAAGGAAGAAAGAAAGAAAGAAAGAAAGAAAGAAAGAAAGAAAGAAAGAAAGAAAGAAAGAAAGAAAGAAAGAAAGAAAGAAAGAAAGAATTTTATATGGGAAGATTGCTTGGGATAACAGTTCTTAACCAAATAAAAGTGAATTAACAAATAGCTGTTTTTAGCTTGCATTTTACTGTTTACTCTGCAAACACAAAGCTCAGTGGTAGCCAAAGCTGCAAATGTATGCCTTAATTTCCAAATGCAGAGGAATTCAATTTCTGAAAGAACTCATATGTTGAGGAGCTGGAGTTAGCATAATAAAGATAATTCGAGCAAAACTTTGAGAATGCAAGGCCTAAAAAGATTCAACCTATCCAAGAAACATTCTCAAGAGAAGATTTTAATGGATTTGCTCCCTTAATAATAAGCTCTTGTGCATATTGATCTGAACAGTACCAGTATAGGTAACATTTTCAACATTTGCTGAAAATAGACATTATCTCAAGAATGCATATCCTGATATTATAGTAATAATACTATCAACACTAATTCTAACAAACAGAAATGTTTAACCTATATCACTAACATCAGATTACAAGCTGATATGCTGGCCACAGACAATTGGAGGGTGGATAGGGATGCATCGACGTACGGAAGATGTTTAGATGACAGCAAAAATAAAACATTATGATGTGATCCTGTTCCCTGGGATTACTGCCTTGACGCTTGTCAAGTTTAATCCTATTTCTACCCAGTCAAAGGATTTCAAAATCTTAATCTCTGAACTGTGAGTGGTTGATGGACTTTTAAGATTTTTTTAGTGAATTTTTATTAAAATGCTACGCTGTGATAAAAAAAAAGCTCCAGAGTGTGACTAATATGCTCCTATTATATTAGGGATATGCAACAATAATGTTTTCATATACATTGCTAGAGCATGGAAGTATTTTATGCAATATTTATTTCGAGTTCAAACCAATAATTTAAAGACACTATAGCCTTTAATAACTGCAAAGGTAATACATACATTTTGCTATCATACAGATAGCCTATTTGTGAATTTTCTATTCTCTGCCACCATAAAGCCCTAGAGCATAGAAACCTATTTAATGCAGATTAAATGTTTAAAATAGTCTTTCTTGTTCTCTTAAGGCAGTCACTGTATTTTCTTGCTGCAGTGCAAGCAATTTAAATGCCAAATGACCAAAACTAATTTATTGGTTCAGAGTTACACATTTATTTAAAACTGGGTCCTGAGAGGTAGCCAATGCAATATAATAGCACAGCATTCATCTAATGGATTATTATACTAGGAAGCAGAAAAGACCATTTAAGACAAGGTACTCAGGCCAGATAATAAAGAATTAAAAACAGTTCTAGTTCTTGTAAGCCTTTCACTATTTTATGGTTAAATGTTTTTCAAGTAATTTCCAGTATCATAGTTAGAAAATATTTCTTTGTCAGTGTATGTATGCTTGTTTTTATCAATGTAAAATTATGGTACTCCCATCCCTTTCAAACGGCAGGACTGAAGAAGCTCTTTAAATTTTTGGTACAATAAAAAAGAAAAAAATGCAACAAATGCTCTTGTTAACAGAATACTGAATAATACAGTGCTTAGAATATGTGTGTATTTTCAGTGTTCTATTAAGTATCGATACTGATCATAGCAAGAAAAATGGCATAACTTTACCAAGCTACAATAAAGTTTTTAAAGTTTATGACAGGAATTGAGATAACGAAATCCAACTGCTGCCAAAGAGTTCGCAATAAAGTCAGGGGAAATGATTTTTTGAGAAGACACCGAGAGGATTGCCCTGTCATGAAGATAATAAAATGCTTTACTTTGTCTACTGAAATGAGATGATTCAGTGATACATAATTCAAAATTAATGAATGTAAATCATTTTTTCACTTGCCTTAACTGGATTTTTATTGTTTCTCTCTCCAATTAATTTGGGGGGTCTTTTTAATAATATTAGATGTGAAAAAGAAATCTGAAAGCTGGAAATAATCAATGTCTACTAATGTTGTCTGCATATGATGTTCCCCACATGAATCGTGCAGAGGACTGTACGAATCTAAGACATTCACTAGAAGGATGGTGTCTTCCTCTCCCCTCTATTTTCTTTGAAGTTTCATTGTACGAGCTGAAACCAGCACAGATTCACATTAATATAGTAGCCCAGGGAAATGTATCTAGAGACTCTATCTAGAGGTTGCTTTCAGATGACTTTCATGCTTCTAAAATGGGTATGGGAAGACCATAAATTCAGAGGAATATCCAGACAAAGAGTCATCCTGACATATTGCACAAAATATCCCAAAATTGTGATCACTGTCCTCCTTTAGAGAGAATAGGACAAACTCATGACCTTTTAAGTGAAGTCAGTGTGCCACAGTTAACTAAAGCAAGTAAAATGAAGAAAATTAAATTAAAGTGAAGAAAAAAAACAAAGGGGGGGGAAAGATTTTTTTTTTAAAATCAGATATTCTTCAGAAAGAATGAAATGAAACTAAATACTTTTTTCCTGGATTGTGTTCGAGTTCATTAAATATTTTTGTTTTCTGTTTTGATATTTATAAGCATTCAAAAACTTTCTAAACTTGCTTTAAAAATATAGCTTGGCATGGTAAACACCTTACAACAGTGCAGTAGAAAAACCCATGAGAAAGCTGACAGCTCCTTCCTTGCATGAAAGCCCATCCAAACAATTACCTCAAATTCTTTCACCTTTTCCATGGTTATCAGGTATCTTGATGTGTGGTTGGAAAGCGTCTGCTCACAGTTGCTAACGAGTTTCAGGCAAGGGTGCTGAGGTATAATCTCTTCTGTATATCTGGAAGAAATAAACAGTCAAAGAGCTTATGAACGGTAATATGTGAATCTGAAACAGAACTGCCAGAGGGGTTGATTCAAACTGAATTAGACTATACACTTCCACATGGTTCATAGCCTTATTAAATTTTCCAGAAACAATGTGTGCTAATTGCTTTCAGAATCCAAGAAAGAAAGAAAAAAGAAAGAAAAAAAGAAAGAAAGGAAGGAAGGAAGGAAGGAAGGTAGGTAGGTTACAGGTAAAAGTTTGGTTTAAATAGGATGAATATACCATATTGATTTTTCTTGCAACAGTTATTTAAATAAATTATGAAAATCTGCCTAATAGAAGCATTTAAAAAAAAACTCTATCCATACAATGCTAAGCTATTTTTCTAAATCTGAGAAATATGTTTCTGCCATCCTGAGCTTATTAGAGCAAGGATAAATTACATATGTAATTAATACCCATTTTCCAAGCTGCAAATTGTTTATCAATAAATCCAAATGATTTAATTTTCAATAAAATCTAGCAAATATCCACACTGTTTAGTACTCGCTGATTATCATACAAATAGGGAAAATATCCCCACCAACTTCAGAATCTATTCTCTCCAGTTCTATATATTAAAATCTGAAAACTACTGTAATGTAGAATAGGGACTTACTCTGGTTTGTACACAGGTAACCAGTAGACCAATCTTCCTCCAAGGACCAAATACTCTGCCGCAAATTTTAACAGGTCAAAGATTATGTCACTCAGCTGATAATTTGAAGAAACTAGGTTGTAATTTTCAGTGCTACAAGATATTTTGAAAATTAATAATAATTACTGTTAAACCTGGATGTTTCACAGTAAGAACAAAACCCAAACATTTATTATCTATCACAGGAATTGAAAAGTCTTCTTATAGCCTTTAAAAATGCACTAATCTGCTTAGTCAGTTCAGTCTAATTAAAAATAAGTGTGAATAGAGTTTCTCATATAAAATTTGAATTTAGGAAAGTTTAATGCACTCTTTATAAGAGGAGCAAAATTGTAATGTAGAAATTAAAACAAAAAGGATCTGGAAGAACAAAGATGATTAAATTTTATAAACTTTGGTGGGAGATGGAGTGGAACTTGAAAAGGTAAATGATACAAGATTATACTTGGTATAGGTTTCAAACTGACAATTTCTGGTCAACAGTTTAAAGTATAGCCTTACTGACATGCATAACACATATCCTATATGGAACTGGCTTTACAAACTCAATTATATATAAGAGTTTGGATGAAACAGAAAATAGATGTTGCTTTGAACCCCAGATAATCAATTATATTGCAAAAGTTCAGCCAAACTATTTCAGATCTGGCAAAACAAAACCCATAATGTTTTTGGATCTTTGCCAAAATAAAACCCACAGAATCCTAGAATGATTTAATAGGCTAAATATGGCAAAAGTGGAATGCATCGTCCTCTCTCTCCCCTCTTCCTCCACATGGCCTTTATGCCTGCTTGATCCTCCTCCACAAGCTACTAGTGAGGATTTTGTCTGCTCTCACCTCTTAAAGCTACTCTTGTCCAGAACTACTATGTTTCATTCCATATCAGGAACAAAACAGCCCTGTTTCAGTATATAAACCAAAACTTCAAAAGCATACATGTTTCAAACATGCATGACAGAAAACCAGCTCTTCCATCCATGCAGCATGTTAGTAACTGTTATTGCCGGTCTTCAAAACCACAATGACATCTGGTAAGATTTAGATAAAAAACTCTAATTAATATTAGTGAATAATCTTTTCTGCCTGTTTTATCTCTTTTCCAGAGATTACACCAAAGTGCACCACCATATTCCATATGAGAGCAATATTTTAGATAAATTCCTAATCCTAAAATTTATCTGAGAAGAACAAGAGATACACAAACCAAGCAAATGCTATAAAAAACTCTCTAATTAAAAACAGCATGGTTGAATTGGTTACTATTTTGGCACAAGATTACAGCATTCAGCAAATGCTTTCACAGCCACTGCTAGCTTTCTGTTCAGATTTGTGATTCATAATCCAAGCTTTGCCTACCTTTTTTCAATCATATTTGGTGTTTCCCGCTGTGAACCAATTTTTCTCGTGGCTTCCCGAATGCCATATGGTGCTACAAAGAAAATAAATACAAGACACATATTGGTTTACACAACTCTGAAATTTTAGCTGCTACTGCTGCATAACAGCAAGTATTCTCTCCGTAGTCTTAATATATAAACAGATACACATATATTCAAAGCCTGCAATCCAATTGTTGAACTAACTACACTGACTTCATTCAAGGACCGAAAGGAGACCTGTTGTATTTAAAATCTTACTGATAGTTAAATAACCAGGTGTTCCCACACGGACTGCCCCATCCATTCTGATTTTCTACCCCATATCTGGTCACTGATAAAGCCTTGACTGATGAAATAACCCACAGAAGGCTGTGATGCAATACATTGGCTAATCTTTTAATACAGTATAGAATTCTTAGCTAGAGAGATGAGACATCTTTCTTCAAATCAACATTCAACTAATTGAATTTGATCCAGCTGTCTGATTTTTTTATCTGAACATAATACAAATCCATTGAGAAAAAAAAGAGGTTATTCAGTCAGCTGTGGCCAAAATGACGTTTTAGTCTATGTTTGCCACTTGCTTTGGGCATCTCAAGGGAATGGGAAGCAGAATGCAAGTATTTATAATGATAAAATTGTGATAATATTACAAAGCAATTCTTCTTTGCAATGGCTTTTCAGAGTCAGAGCATAGAAAAGGCACCCCATCTCCTGGTATCCAGACCCCTAAGCTCCCTTGAACTAATTGCTTTAATTAATTACCTCACAATTAAGATCCACCGAGCTTTGGAAGCGATGGGTGATCTGTCACCGTGCTCCTCCCCCTCCTTAAAAAGGACAGTTCTCTTGCTCATGCATCAAGTTTAAAGTTTTGTTAAACATGCAGCAGAACTTTGATGTGATTTTTAGCTGGATAATATATGGAAGCGCTTACAAAGGTTCCATTAACCTCAACAAACCCCAAACTAAAACCAGTTATATGTTACAAAAAGATCCACTGAATCAAGGACTAGCAGGTACAGTTTTTTTTAACTTATATTTGATTCAGCATTTAAACTGTACTTCTTTATACTTTATGTTTTTAATAAGCCTAGTAAAAACTAATAGAAAATAAACTAGAAGAAAAAACAAGTAGTAGTACAATAAAAGTTCAGAAGGTGCAGAAAAAGAAAAAGGAAAAAAGTAGAAAAGAAAAAAGACAGTAACAAAATGGCTTCCAACCTTACCAAATATAAACTGTTATAGTAACTTTTCACCCTCTTTTAAAGTCGCAAATAAAAACTCTTCACTCCTTAACTTTTATCTATGCACAATCCAGAAATTGTCATCTTTTCAGTTCTGGTTCAGCAAAGTCCATTAGAAGTTACCAGAAATATCACAGTTTATCCCTGAACAAATACTCCATCTTTATATTTCTCCTTTTTGCTCTTCATATCGTTAACCTTTAAATCATTCCACAGGTATCACAGGATTTGTCCTTTCATCAATCCTTGGCATTCAAGGGCCTTCAAAGCTTTCACCAGCCTACTTTGTAAATCCCATAAAGTGGCATCATCCAGGATTTTTTGTTGCAGTTCTATGTCCAGATCCTTTTCCCAATTTGTTGTTGTTTCCCACAAATATATTATTTAATTGTATATTTGTTTATCAAATCTTATCACAAAAATAACCAATATTCCAAATCTCTCTGGTCTCTCAATCCACTTAAAGTTCTCTTAAATCATTTTTTTTTTGCCAAATATATATATATTTTTTTAAAAAAATCCTAAGTTTGTGTTTAAAATTTTCTAAATCCAAAAAAGTAAAACTTATCAGGTATCAAATTAAGCTTGCCATTGTGAAGGCCTGTGATAGTCATAAAGTAGTTAAATTGAACATTTCTGATTGTTATTAGTGTGTTGACCTGAATTAATGTCCGTTTTAAAAGTCATGGAGGCTGCTGTCTCCTCACAAGGAGCTGTTGTTCAAAGCATCTGTGGGCAACCTCCCCTTTTCTCCTTCTCCAGAGCTTTCACAGCACTCATCATCTCTACACTCCTTTTTACTTTACATTTAATTCAGCATTTAAACTGTACTGTTTTAACTGTTCACATTTCAATGTCAAGGGAGATTGTCAGTCATCTAGGTCATGGTTGTACTAAAAGTGCTTTTTCAAAAGGCAACTGGACTTTGCTTTTCCTTGAAGACATTTCGCTTCTCATCCAAGAACCTTCTGAAGAAGTGAACTGAAGAAGCTTCTTAGATAATAAACGAAACATCTTCAAGAAAAAACAAAGTCCAGTTGCCTTTTGAAAAAGCACTTTTGGGATTCATACTTCAACATTTTTGTAAAACTATTACTACTTATACAGTACATTTTACTTTATACTAAGTTTAGTATTTTAGCCAGTGGTGGGATTCAAATATGTGAACAACCAGTTCTCTGTGTGGATGCCGCTTCCGGAAGTCCATTCTGGGCCTGGGTAACAAAAAATTAGCTACCAGTTCTGCCGAAGTGGTGCGAACTGGCTGAATCTCACCACTGATTTTAGCCCATATTCATGTTTAGATATTATTTTATTTATTAGATTTACACACCGTCCATTTCATCTGAATGCTAGATGATTATTAGTACATTTGATTGAAGGATACTTTAGGTTTTTCTATATTCTATGGAAAATATTTTTGGAGGTGACTAATGTATTTACTTTGCAAGTATTAAAGCATTAATGTACATTTTTGGTCTAGGGAAATAAACTCTATTGCTCCAAATAGTACTATAATTCATACCTTTTAAATAGCGATTCAAAAAAAGTATAGAGTCAAAATAAGCATTAAAAATGGGATTTGTTTTTACTTTTATGGAATTTACAATGTTTTACTACTTCAACAAGGAATATAGAATTAAAGGTTCAATTTAACCCCCACCCCCCCCCAAAAAAATGGAAAATCCTAATTTTACATTATTAAGTCCAGGCAAATATTTAGTTGGCATTAAATTCTGTGTTACTTTTCCAATCAAGTCACATTTCCTAAATTACATAATCATACATAGTAAAGAGATATTTAAAATATTCAGCATATTAATGGCATTTTTCTAACCAATCCCATTATAAGAAAACAAGTCAAATAAGCAATGGCAGGAATGCTTTGGCTTTCTCAAAATTAACTTGAATGTGCTTCAAAATGTATATGGTGTCACTCCAGAAACAAAGTTATTTCCAGATGGGGAAGCAACAAGACATAGCACTGTATAACCTATGAATAAACAATAAAGCATTCCACTAACATTATTTAGCCATTAATAATTTATATTCATTGGAAATGATTAAGGTGACTTGATTGAAAAATGTAATACCAAATAAAGGAGAATTCCTATCTTCTTGCTTGTGGAAATTCCAGATGTAAGCTTTACATTTGAAATTAAGATGCTTCAGTTATATTAACTTGTTTCATTCACCGAAATAAGCTTGTACTGGTACTGTAATATATCCAAAATACTGAGGCACGTTCCTACTAGATTTACTATAACACAAAATAATGCGTGCCTGAGTCCAACAGTCCTGAAAAAATACTAAAATATTTTTAAAGGTCCAGATATTCATATTCTCATATTTTACCATATAAAACTCTATAACAAGCTTATAGACATATCCATTATTATCATCCCCATAGCCTGCATTCATGAATTATAACTATTTTGGGTTTTGCATCTTAACTTACGGTCTGTAATGATTGCATCAAACTGCACTCCCTTCCTCCATATGGGTTTTGATGCATCAGAAACAAATATGTCAAGATAATATTTCTCCAAACCATACTGGCGAAGGTTGGCTCTGATATTTTCATCAGGTCCTCTCCACTTTTGATTCTTTCTACTAGCTTTGCCTTAGAGTCATGAAGAAGAAGAAAAAAATTGCGATTAAAATAATCCCCAATGTTTCTTTGTCACTGCAATGCATTTATATTCCATTCAACTAAATAACATTTGGTAAGAATATTTCTCTTCACCTTAAATTGATCACAAGTGAATGCCAATGATGATGTTGCCTAATTCATAATAAAATAGACACAACTGTTCAGTAAGTACTAGAACAAAAACTTGCATGGTAGTATTTTCTACATGTACTGCACGAATTATGTCCTTTCAGTGACCATTCAAACTTACAACAGTGCTGAACAAGAGAAACCTATGACTGGTCCTCCTAGTTCAGATCATCACAAGGAACTCACAGTCACATAATTGTGATCTGGGCACTTAGTGCCTAGCTTACAATTACAAAGCTGCAGCGAGTTGCAGCCATGTGATTGCAATTCCTGTTTTCCTTTCTGGTTTCCCATAAGCAAAGTCAATGGGAAGCCAGCACCAAATCAGAACTTGCAGTCAAATGGGGTCCTCATTTAACCACTTGCATAGTCCTTGCTTCACTATAGCAGCTGGGACTTCCAGAACTACTGTTGTTAAGTGACATGGTCACATGACATTACATTTTAGGGCTGCATAGCTTAGTAATAGCAATCTGGTACCAACTGCCATTGTAAGCCAAAGACCATGTATATTTCATTTAAAATAACAGAACCCTTAAAGCTGCTATTATACTTTAGGATGACTTGAAACATTTGAACAAATAAAAAAGGGAAGTTGATTTTCATTTCCTCTTTGCATGATTTCTCTTCTCTCCGATGAGATAGACACATAGCGACTCTGGACAATGTACAACTTTTATTGTTATCTCATGAGAAAAATCCACCATCATTGCTAGAAAAGAAAACAAATGATGACTACCTAAATCAACACATCATAAAGAAATCAACCCATGGTTCTCAACTAATGGCTGGGATTTTATGCACGCACAAGTTGATTACATTCCCTAAATTTTTTTTTTTGATAGTTGACCATCACTCATTTTGCAAACAGCCACTTAAATTCCCATGTGACTGAAAAATTAATTTGAAGAAAGGCATTCTCTTCCTTGAATAAAATTCAACTGCATTTTCTTTTGACAGTAAAATTGTCTATCATAGCTCACTATGAGAAAGACTGTGTGAGGTAATGAGTAATTACTACTATCTGATAAATTTCCTGAGTTGAGGAACTGTTTTGGGACTAAAATTGCTACCATATTTTATGTAATTAATTAATTTCTACTAGTAAATAATGAAAAGGACATACCCAACCCATGTACTATATTATAATCTATATCTGTGCCACAGACATATGCTCCAAAGTGCGCAGAAGCTATAAGAAGTCCACCTGCGAGCAAAAGAAACAAAATATCCTTATTCCATAGTAGGGTGGAGATAAAAATATTCCCAACATTCTTGGAGTGCCTAAATATTTTGCCTTGTTTGTTTAGCATAGATTAAGCTCCTGTCATCATCACACAGAAATAATTTTTTGACAACTGTTTTCAGCAACCCTCAGGGCATGAATGTTTATTTCTTCTTCCAGAAGTCTTACCTTCTCTCACTAGTGCAAATTGTTTTAAATACTAATATTTAAATTGTCTTTGTAGCAAAATTATTCTATTGCTACTTAGTGTATACCTCATTTTGAACCAATTTATCTCAAGCAAAAAGTTCATCACATACAACATGTGACACAAGCACCCTCTACTGTTTTGTTGAAGAAAAACAACTAACTGAAGGAATATCTGGAGTCGCATAAGAAATAGCATTGCTTAGACAACACAGCAAATTCTTAAAAAGAAACTGATCTATGATTAACTCCAATACAAAATCTGAAATTTGTTCAGAGCAAATGACACACAAGATAGCTTCTTTGGTCCTACAGTTCCTTCAGGGAATTTTTTTCATATGCCTTAGTGCAGGAAGGAGAAAGGTACAATACTGAAAAATTATAGACTGTAAAGGAATCTAAAAACAATCTTGGAGAAGGTTTGAAACATTCATTAAAGGCAGGAAGGAAGATATGAGCTATTAAGGAGGAACTTGGAAAAGTAATTACACAGTCCAGAAATTGAAGCAAGCATGACAAAGAAACTCAAATGACCCTGTCATGATTTTCTTTAGTACAGGATGGATAGAAGGAAACGTGAAAGAAGCTTTCAAGAATTAATATTTGTGATCTACAACAACAGAGTAATATTTCTAGAATTCCAGCAACATCTGTCTATTTCTTGAACCTGAAGGGCTGACATCAATTTTGAAAGCCTCTCCAAGTTTTTTCTGTCTCATCTTATTCTAAATAACATCAAGACAGGATTACCTTGAGTTTCTTTCTCACATTTACTTCAATCTCAGGACTGCACTTCCTTTTCCAAGTCCCTCCTTAATGGCCCATTCTTTAATTCACTTGTTAGCATCTTTCTCATCTCCAAATTCCTTTACATAAGGCCACCAGCTCCTAAGTCCTAAACATCTGTATTCCTTCCCAAAATATTCTATAAACTGGTTTTCTTCAATCCAAATGAATGGGATTTCTGAGAGTTTCTACTGGAAAGAACCATAATGGGGCAAAGTCATAGGTATAAACTATCCTGTCTCTTTTTTTCCTTTTGCATGAATTACGGCTGAGATCTTAGTCATCAAGCAGGTATATGACTGATGCTTCATAGTTCCTTCAAAGCCGATGACTATTGATATCAATTGCAACAAGAACTGCATGAATAAAACAATTACACTGAATATATTTTGGTAGTTGTAAATTCTAAATAGTGATCTGGTGTTGTTATAATGAAGCCCCAGAGCTAAAGATATAAAAGTTTTTATAAAGTAGGCATGAGCCTAGGAAATAAATCACATTTAGATTACTGAAGGTGTTGCATAATTATATCTGGATAATATATACTGCATCTGAGTAACTTTGTTTAGCAGCAGGAAGGGAAACATGTGCCCAAGTACCCATTCTCAAAGTTGCTTAACTCCCACTCACAATATGCTTCACCACTTCTATACTGGCTGGGGCTGCTGGGAAATTGTTGTTTAGTAACATCTAGAATGTTTGTACAAATTGCATATTCCCAAAAGCAAATTCTTCTGTCTAAAGAATTTAGATGACCAGGTAAGTTTAGTGAAATAACAGAAAATATGAGCAGATAATAAATGTAAAACATTTCCTTTCTTTTTCCTTGATAAAGTTTGAAGGGGAAGACAGGGGGGAAAAGAGGGGCAAATACCTGTTCCCACAAAAGGATCAAACACAATATTGTTTGGTTTTACTTTTCCATGGTTTGCCATGATAAAAGCCAAGCCGGAATGCATGCTTGTGTTCCCAATAAAATGCCTTTTTTTAACACTGTAGGATTCAATAAGGTCCCTTTGTCCATTGGCAATCTGTGGAATACATGGTTGGGAAGGCAATGAGAGAAAGGGAACAAGGAAGATTTATTTTGGTTACCAAGCACTTCTAAAACACACAAAAAAACGTAAAATGATTTTTAAAAAACATAGATGCAGAGTTTTTTATCAAGTGACCACATTGAACAAAGCACTCTTAATATGCTTTCCAGTTCAGAATATTATTTTACTTTTTCAAAACAATCAAGTTCAACGACTAAGTTGAAAATTATAAAAGAGAGCACATATCTAAGCTCTGAGGCACATGAGGCATCTATTTTTCCTACTTCTTTCACATTCCAATCTGCACAATCTGTCATGATTGTATTGCTGTTTTAAAAACCTATAATTTCATTATTAATTTAGTACCTTACTCACCCATCTCCCAAAGTACAAGCCAATAGGCTGTTTGGTAGTGTTGCCCAGATAAAGTCCGTGATCTTCTAGAAACCAAAATGTATGGTCTGGATTATTCAAATCTACACGTCCTTTAAATGGTAAAAACTGCAAAGACTACATGGGTATGAGGGATTGAGGGGGAAGGAAAGAGGAATTGGAAACAATGCATTAATCAACAATATTATATGTGTGACATTATTTATCCATATCTACAGTAATCTTCCTTACTTTTATGATAATAGGTATACCAAAAATAATTGAATGCTGCCACTACCAAAACATAAAATGTATGCTCTTCTTAAGCTAAAATATTATTTTTAAAAAGTTAATAAGGTAGCACAGAATAAAAAATATACCACTGGTGGTCTATTAAAACCAAAATATATCAGTTGTATTATGTATTCCTGACGGAAGGTACACTTTTTAAAAATTGGGGTTTTTTCATCCTTTGAGGATCATCGAGCATATAGTTGCTTTATACTGCATGTCTGGTTTTTTTAAATCAAAACTGTAGAGGGTTAATACGCCTAATTTGCTTTTTACTGCCAGGACCCCTGAGATATCAGTGCAGACCATCGTTCCAAGCAATCCCAGATGTAATTTGACTTTTTCTTTTCATTCTTTTCCTAACAGATTTTGGACTTTGTAGGCTGGCCCTCCCAAGCTGGTGTTCAGATGGAGCAAACTCTTCTTGACTCACAGGGCACTTGGGCCCTCTTTGGGGTGGGTCTCTGCCTGCCTCCAATCCACTCAGCCAAAGTATTCACTCTCAGACATGGAAAACCAGCCATTGTTCTCGACAGGAGACTCATGTTAGGCAAATGTATGCAGCATACCAAAAACTAATCCTTTCTCGTCTTCTCCCAACATGCAGGATTTTCTAGGTTGGAGTTGCAGACAGGTATGTTCATACACAACTTAAAAGTTTGTAAGTAACATCTGCTGACATCTAACTTTTGGCTAGCTACATGGACAATTATTTTTACATTTTGAACCACAATACACTACTACTCCTATACATTTTGCTATTTCTGTACGATTACTTCCTTAAACAAAGCTGAAAAATTGTCCACTGAATCTTGAAGTGTGATGGAGGGATGGGAGTGGTAAAATTTAAAGATCGTGGATGGCTGTAGTTGCCCACATTGAATATATCATACCAAAGACAACTGTGCAACCAAATATTAAGGCTATTTTTATACTATCTGAAGTGAGAAGAAATCAGGAATGTTGACAGGCTTTATAAAGAGAATGTTTGTTTAGGTCTACAAACTGGGAGGCTACAGCAGAACACTGCAAGCTTCCTGAAAGTTGTAAGAGGATATCCAGTGATCTCCCTGGAATGCAGAGATTAAATTATTTAGCCCTTTTTTGTTTTATATTATGTTTTAGAGCAGGGGTAGTCAGCCTTGGCTCTTTTATGACTCATGGACTTCAATTCCCAGAATTCCTGAGCCAGCATGGTTCAGCTTGGAAACCTCTCCCTTTTCCCTCAGCATGGCTGGCTCAGGAATTCTGGGAGTTGAAGTCCATGAGTCCTAAAAGAGCCAAGGTTGATTACCCCTGTTTTAAGAGTGTTAATGGAAGCAGGAAACTTTGAAGCAGCAGATCCTCCAAATCCACCCTCCTCCACAAATAGTGATTTTGGACCATCAGAAGTGTCATGCCTTCTTATCCTTAAAATTTTCTCACCAAATTTTAGCAAGACAAGCAGAGTGCTGGACCGCATAAATGGAGTGCTGAGCAATTGCCTCAGACCCATGGGTCATTCATTTCTTATGTGCCTTATGATATAATATAACATAGTCTGAAAAAAGACAAGGCACAGAGCAAACAATGCTCTCCTCATTGACTTGAAAAGTAATGAGTAGAAGAATGACTCCACTTGAAGAATTCTGAGCCCCAGGCTAGGAAGACTTTAAAGCTAATTAAGTTTTAATAGGAAACTAACAGATCAGCCATGATGTAGAGGAGTCTAGGCTACAACTTATGTAGGTATTTATTTAGCATATTTATACTATATAACCACCTGTCTCCCAAATGCAGCGTACAACACAACAGCAAAAGAATCTAAACAAACATATAAAATAAAGAAATAAAACCCAATAAAGCTAAATAAATATTAGATAAAAGCCCATAATTCTTTAATTATTAATTTCTTAAATTCTAGGTACAGGTACATATGCCTTTCATAGTTAATTCATAAGAGAGAAATATGAATATATCATGAAGACTTTGTTAAGCTTACTCTAAGGCTTGGTTACAGCCCTCGGAATACATGTGGAGGCATGAAAAGAATTCTTGAGCATATGAAGGCTTTACAATGTGACACTATTGAATGCATGAACAAAGGCAACCTGGTTATGCATCAGGTATTAGAAGAAAGGACAGAGGCAATTGTGATTTATCTCTACAACAACAAAAGAATGTTAACTCTCCAAAGCTATACATGATCAATGTGGCAATGTATGCACTTGTCTTATGTTTCCTTCTGCAGTATTATGAAAGAACAGACATTTAAGCAATCAAAGAACTTAACTATTACTTACATCTATTCTTTGAATCTTCTCTGCTTGTGTTACCGTTTTGTTGAAAGCATGGACTATTACTTTGTAGGTGAAATTGGACTGTAAATATGGAGCCTAAAACAAAGCAAGACAGTTTTAATTATGGCATAGTGTATATGCTGCATAACACATATTAAATGAAAAAGTTTAGAATGTTTTCTTATACCAACCATTTTCTCTACTGGATAATTCTTCAGTGAAGAATGCAGTTCTTCTACAGATTTTCCATGACCCCAGAGCTCAAATATTGATCTGAAAGCAAATAAATACAGACTTTCAGGAACATGTTTTATTCTACTTTGATTAAAAACTTGCACTCTGTCTACTTTCAAAGACACATAGATAATATTTCATCATAGCCAAAGGCCTATAGAATGTTTATAAAACTATGTTAGGAACAAAAGACCATGATCATATGTGATGTTCCAATTAAACTTATTTATTACTAGTCATGCCTCTACTTAACTAACAGCACTATTTTGATGCTGGTTAAGGATCAACAGAATTCAGGAGAAGCTGGACTTAGTCCATTTATGACTACTTAGATACTCTAGGGCAAGGCTGATTCCTCTTTTGACTCTGCTTTCAGGTTCTGTCACTCCTCCTCCTACACTATGTAATAATACAAGAGCAGTGAATTATTATTACAAGAAAATATATATACAGATCCATACACAAATATATAATTCATTCACATATAGACATTTGCTGCTTAAAACTGTGATAAGATGGGCAAAATAAAATTAAAGTTCAGATCAACTAACAATCTAAAAGATGACCAAAGTGATGGGCTAGGTGTTACCTCAAGCTAGACTCTAAACGTTATTGTGTTATATACATCAGCATTGTCTTTCTTGAACAGCAATCAAAAAATTGCTCTGACTTATTAGAAAAATGCAACAGAAAAGATATAATGCGCTTGGTGTGTCAAAAATCTATCATACAAAAAAAACATAACAAATGGCCATTATTTTCTATCATTCTTGATTCATAATATTTTCAGGCGATATTTAAAAATAGATCTGATTATACTACCAATATGATCACAATGAATCTTATTTTTAAAATGTTATCCTATGTTGGAGAAGTCAGGAAGAGAAAGGAGCTAGCAGGATCTCCTTGGAAGCTTATAAACTGCGCTAATTTTCTTGATTTGCAAGCCTAATTCTTGTTGATAAGAATTTGCTACCATGATGAGGTGCCAATCTGGTTTGCTCGTAACCAAGAAAAAGCAGAATATAGTGGAAAAACAGGGAGCAAAGCTTTAGAGCAATGGCTTGCTTCCACCTTGTGAGAGTATTCAAGGCTGTCCTAAGTCCAATTTGAATAGGACAAAAATACTGCATCACTGGCATACAAATGGATTGGGGCCGTTTGCTCCATTAAACGAGGTAGACATTGTAGCATTGTATCTGCAGTCTTAGCTATGGGGTTAATAGAGATGTTGAAAAATAAGTGGGCCAAGATGCAATCCCTTTTGGCAGCTCTTTGTACAGGTTAAAGAGTATCTCAGGCAGGCTACATCTGATTCTCAACCTGTTGTGTTAACTTCCTAATGAGCAGCACCAAATTTAGTTCAAAGTTTAGTATACATCCAGAGACTATATCTTTCTAAAGCAGGGCTTTTCAATCTTTTCACCCATTTTACCACTTTTAGCACTATCCGAGGACCACCAGTCACCTAGGAAGGTGTCAAAAACATGATGACCAAAAAAAAAGGAAAAAAGTGATAAAGTACAGGTAGTCCTCAACTTACAACAGTTCGCTTAGTGACTGTTCAAAGTTACAATGGCACTGAAAAAAGTGCCCCCAAGCCACAGCCGAGCAAGACACCTGCCTGCCTGCCTGGCAGCGCTCTTCTCCTGTCCGAGGTTTTCATTGTTGTGAACATTTCTGTTGAGGATTGGCAGGGGGGTGGGGTGGGGTGTTCGGTTTTTATTCCTCCCGTCAGCTGGGTGGTTGCAGAAGGTTTTGGTCATTTCCCATGACCCTGGGACATGTGACCGTCATAAATATGAATTGGTTGCCAAGCATCTGAATGTAAATCACAAGACCCTGGAGGTGCTGCAACATTCCACCCGATCGACACTTCTTCTGGGCTCAGCAGAAGCACTAGGATCAGCGCTGAGCTCCAGTTGGAGCTTGGTGCTGATCCTGGCGCTTCCACTGAGCCCTGATAGCCCTGCAGCTCCAGCCATCTCTCGCTCAGGCTTGTGAGGTGCTGCCACCGGTTCAGCTCAGTCCTCTCCCGCGCTACCACTTTTCTAGGATGGCCGCGTACCACCTGCCAGGTGTCAATGTACCACAGGTGATACCCGTACCACTGGTTGAAAAGCCCTGCTCTAAAGCACGGGTGTCAAACTCGCCACGTCACATGACGTGACGTATCGTGACTCTTTTTGCAGTGCCGGCAATGGGCTTTGGTATGATGAAACCGGCCGCAGGCCGGCAGTTTGACACCCCCGTTCTAAAGTCTACAAAATAAGGATTATATATTTACTTTCAGTGGCTTTGCAGCAGAGATGAATGAAATTTCCAACACTGCTTCTGTACAACTTCAAGTCATTTAATGGTATTTGTACAAAGGGACATATAAATAAAGCATGCAAAAGAAAGATCCTTTGCATCACACCATCAGAAATTAAACCTGAAATCACTAAGTCTCATGCATAGAAACAGAAATTAGGTATTTTGCCTCTTTTTGACACAGCTGTAAGCGCATCCTAGAGAGGTCAACTAAGGCAGGACACTGCAATTCAAAAGCTAGTCAAACTTCTCCCGACATTGGCAGCGAAAGAGGGAAGAGAGGGAGATTTTTACCTATCCAGGAGAAAAAGGATGAGAAAGCCTAATGCGGGGGTGTCAAACTGCTGGCCCGCAGGCCAGACGCGTCACGTAGAAGGCGCGCTCACCCCATTGCCGGCAATGGCAAAACCGGCCTGATACGTTGTGCGACGTCACATGACGTCACGAGTTTGACATGCCTGGCTTAAAGGGAATCTTAATGTAGAAGGGAAGCAGGGACACTCTCCCTCTCTTGTTGTTATTTTTTTTTACCCACATCAGTCCTTACTTTGCACATACTGTTCGTTTCATTAGTCTTCTAGCTATCTCTTCAGAAGGCAAGTCAAGAATCCAAAACGGGCTCTGCAGTCAGGAAAAATAAAACAAGTTATTACAAGGAACAGCACTGTAATCAAGAACATCATTATTTAAGCAGCTACAACTTTTTCTTTCTGTTCCTTTCTTTCCTTTCTTTGTGTATTTAGGGAGCATTTATAAAATGTTTCCATCAAAACTACAATAAGTGGTGTTGCAAAGGAGCAGCCACAGCCAGTGCAATAATAATAGAAATACAACATATAATTACAGTAGGCAAACATTATAATTAATATAACAATCCTGACAGCAGGCACTCTAGAGTATTCAGATCCCAAAGGCTTTCTGGAAAAAAAAATCAAAGTTTTTTTTAATAAACATTTTATTGGTTTTTAACAATAACAATCTCTAGTGCCTGGTGTACAGCGTGTTGTCTTGGTTTATATATTTGAAAAAGAAAAAAAAAGAAAGAAAAAAGGCAATAATAATTAATTAAGAGTCAATAATGATTAAATTTGAAAATTCAATACTTAGTATATTCATTAATAATATATTTCTTTGATCTTCCCTTCTCCCATTTGTATTCTCCTTCTTCAACCTTAAACAAAATATAATTCTTAATATTTTCAATATATAAATGATTAAACATTTTTTATATTTATACAAATAGTGATAACATCTATGTATAACACATTTTTATCAGCTTATATTATTCTTATAACCATCCTCTCATTAGTTCACCATGCATCCTATTTTTGTGATTTTTGTTTAAACTTAATTTCCCCTTTTATTCAATCCATGCTTATCAGTCATGGTTTTCTCAATGTTAATCATCTAAATATCCAAATTTTTCCATTTAGGTACACCATCCCAATATTTTCATATTTCATGTATTATAAAAATACTGTGCTTCTTGTCTATCTTATAACATCTGGGTATAACATCCTTTCTGATCAGGTATTCAGGTCCCAAAGGCTTTCTGAAACAATCGAGTTTTAATGAGCTTCTAGAGGGCCAGGAGAATGGAAGCGATCCATGGCGAGGGGAGGAGGGGAGGGAGGGAGATGGGGATAAACGATGGTATGTGAGATTTTCAGCAGGAATGTTTTGTGTCCTTGGATGGCAACCGTCCTCTTCAACCAGTTGCCTGCTAACTCGCCGAGGTCTCATGTGGCCGGATGAGCCAGGCAGAGTTTATATGAGACAGTTTATTTAAAACTAGATAGTCCATTCTGCAATATTTCCCCCATTTTCACATCTAAAGCAGAGCATGAAAATCTGTGGTTTTCATCTTCATCTTCCCTCTTTTGAGGACAGGAGCCGTTGATCAGACTTTTAATGCTAATTTTCAGTATGCACCAACAAAGCTACTCAGCTGCAAATAACATCACCACTTTTATTTTTAGCCTGTATTCCCACTCAGTTATACCAATAGCCAGCAAACATCAACAAAAATTATTCCTATACTTCCTGAGATTGAAGAATTAAACTTCTCTCTGCTCCCATTATGAATGTATGATGATAAACCCTATGGCAGAGGTCCCCAACCTTTTGGGCACCAGGAACTGGTTCCGTGGAGAGAGGTTTTTCCGTGGATCGGAGGGGGCATGGTTTTGTGTACTGCTAGCATCTCGCGGACTGGTTGCTGGCATGCCAAGCCCAGTACTGGTCCACGGACCAGGGGTTGGGGACCCCTGCCCTATGGGGCACTTCAAATTTTACACCATTACATTATGTTGGCTGTGTGGCATTGGCTGTTCTTAGAATCAAGAAGCATACTGAACTTCATAAATGTATAACCAAAATTTGCAACTATGTGCAAGCCTAAGTATCTTATCCCTCTCTCCTCCTAATGATTACACTTAGGACACCTATCTAACTCCCCCTCCTGTGTTTTTATTCATGTTTTCCATGTTGTCTCCCACAGATCCGGAAGGGGCAGAAGCAATTGAACATGAGAAGAGAAAAAGATAAACCAGATGATGCTACATGTTTAACTGTACCTTCCATTTGTGAAGAAGGGCATGGATTGCACCGTTTATGACCTCTGCCACTGGAAATTTTCAATCTTGCTGTTCACAATATCAGTTTGGTGCTCTTCCTTCAATCAGTAACTCTGTCACATCAGGCCTGAACTGATGCTACTAAGGACAGCAAAGCCTTGGAGTAGAACTTTAGCTTTCCTTAGGGAGAAACCAACTGATTACCAAAGAAGAGCAGATTATGTACGAAGCTTTGTTGGGAAATGCTATTTAAATCTCCAGCAAGATATACTGACAGCAGTTGCCAAGATACAAATTAGAGGAAATGGAGGAGGGGGGAGCAGTTGGAGACATGTTGAAAAATGTGATGAAATGGAGATGAAATATAGCAAAATATATTTCCAGTGCATATTGGAAACAAAATGTTTTTTCTTGCTTGCTTTGTTTGCTTATTTTAGCCAACAGGAAGCTGATTTATTTATTTATTTATTTTATTGAAAAGTTTTATACAGGAAGCTGATTTATGAAATATTTTAGTGACCCAAAATTTGGACCAGATTTGAAACTGTTGGCCCCACACACACACACACACACACAAAAAAAAACCTGGGAAGAAAAAGAGGCCCACATTTTTATCTCTGATCGCTCCAATAACAGGCACAGAGGGACAAGATATTTTGCAGGAGTTGAAGTACAGGTAGTTCTCAACTCTTGTTTAGTGAAAGTTCGAAGCTACAACAACACTGAAAAAAGTGACTTATGACCATTTTTCACATCTATAACCCCTGCAGCATTCCTATGGTCACGTGATCAAAATTCAGGCACTTGGGCAATTGTCAGGTATTTATGACATTTGCACTGTCCTTGGGTCATGTGATAGCCATTTGTAACCTTCCCAGCCGACAAGCAAAGTCAGTGGGGTATGCCAGAGTCACTTAACGACCAGATTATTTACTTAACAACCGTGGTGATTCATTGAACAACTGTGGCAAAAAGATTGTAAAATGAAGCACAAGTGACTTAACAACCGCCTCACTTAGCAATGGAAATTTTGGGGCCAACCGTGGTCGTTAAGTCGAGGACTATCTGTATGGTCACATAAATGCCAAGATAAGGAAGCAAATGGCTCATTTTCATTCCAGGGAATGAACGTATCCATATATTGTGCTCAGCCACCATAGAATTCTGGAATTCAGGGCTCCCAGATTGTTCTAGCTTCTGCTTAAAAAGCAGGATTCACTGGCAAGCCAATGCCGCTGTCTGTAGCTGCCTTTCTTGGCCTATCTGCTCCTCAAAGGAAGTCTCAAGAGAAGATGATCCTTCCGATCCTTTCATAATTACCCATGGGTTGCAAGGACAGGGCCAGCTATCAAGGATAGTAGATATTCTGCCACCCAACTTAAGGATATGTTATCAATTCTCAAAGTTTAGACATGTGGCCAGAAAAATCTCAGATCCAAAAAAGGGCCCAAGATACATGCATACCTCTGTGGCAGTGTTTCCCAAACTTGACAATTTTAAGGCATGTGGACTTCGACTCCCAGAATTCCACAGCCATGTGGAGTCGAAGTCCACATGCCTTAAAATTGTCAAGTTTGGGAAACACTGCTCTGTGGGAACACAGCCTGCATTTTCATGGCACTGAACAACTGTCAACATTTAACACAGGAAATATTTTTCTTTCCCACATTATAGTTTTCAAATGATTTCATGCAAATAAAAAATTACATCAATGTAATTAGAATAATATTCCTTATTATTCTAGGAATAATATACCATAAGATTTTGTATCATGATTAAAATTAAAGCTTGGCTGCAAAAATATTCACTTCACAAAAACAATCTCATGGAAAAACACACTTCATTCTGTATCTAATTGTTACCTTTAATCTCAGTTCTTGTGAACTGCTAAACCTTCCATCACAGAGGGAGAGCAAAGACTTTATTTCCTAGAAGAAAAGTAAGATATGATAAATTATTTTGGAAACATTTTTATAAGATTTTATTTTTTCTTACATACATATAACAATTTTTCAACCAACATGCTGTCTGAGTTTGAAAGCGCTAATACATATTTAATTCCTAATCCTTCATTCTTTCCTCTAACCATTGATAGAATAAATCCCAAGTTTGGTAATATTCTGTTTCTTCTTTTTCTTTCAATCTCATAGTCAATCTGTCCATCTCTGTGCATTCCAGTATTTTTTTTAATTATTTCCTCTTCTGGTGGTATTCCTTCATTTTTCCAATATTGTGCAAACATTATTCTTGCAGCTGTTGTGACGTGTAAAATCAAGTATAGGCTTTGTTTGTTAATCTTTTCTGGCGTTATACCTAGTAATAAAAATTCAGGTTCTACATGTTCTCCCAATATCTTTTCTAACCAAGTATGTATCTTTTTCCAATAGTCCCCATTTTAATAAATATCCTAAAATAAATATCTAACACTGTTATTGCATTATTATAGTATTTTTTATCCTTTATAAAAATATAACTTATGGCTGACTTCTTTAAATATGACTACAGTAGAGCCAATTTGGTGTACCAATGAAAGCATCACACTAGAAACCAGGAGATCATGAGTTCTAGTCCCATCTTAGGCACAAAACCACCTAAGTGCCTTTGGGCCAGTCACTTTCTCACTGCCCTAGGAAGGTGGAAATGGGAAGCCCTTCTGAAATCTTGCAAGAAAATTGTAGGCAGTCACCAGGAGTCAAAAATTGACTCAACGACACAAAATATTAACAATCAGTGGTGAATAATCCAAAGGCTGAGTAGGTTTTCACTCTATAAGTCGTACTGGAAAACCCAGAATGCTAGTTGCTGCAATTGCTTTCTCCTCCCACCCCTTCCAGTGTAGGCACAGCCAAATATTATTTCCCAGTATTGGAAGGATAGGAATAAAGAAGACCCCTTAGGATATTTACATCTTACCCCAGGTAAGTATAAACACACAGAAGCAAAATAGCCAACTGCTTTCCTTGCTAGGAGGAGCATGACTTTTGAGAACTGAAAACAACAAACCCAACAACTTAGTTAGTAGAGGTGCCTTGGCAGGAAAAAGAAGAGAAGGCAAGGCTATATTTCAGTTTATCAAACTTGACAAGAAGTCAAATGGGGGCAGGGCTGTCCAATTGGAAAAGAAGCATTTGAGTGAATGAGAACGAAGTGCAGCAAATGGAGTTGAATGTTCTCCATGCAGTGTGAAGGGGAAAGATACAGTTGAAGCAATGGGAGAAAATGTGGGCAAGTTATTTTCCCAACAGGTAGCATTTACACTTTCTCATCCATTCCCACCTCTCAATATGGCAGTTGACCCAATCTTGCAAATTTGCATAGACAAGTACCAGCAATTTTCTTGGCAAGGTTTTTCATGGGTGGTTTACCATTGTCCCTTTCTTAAGAGCTGGGACTGGCCCGAGGTCACTCTGTTGATTCTGTGCCTAAGACAGGAGTAGAACTCCTGGTCTCCAATCTGATCTCTTTAACAACTACATCAAACTGGTTCTCAAGTGTGGATCAGCCTTAACATCAACTAGAAAAGTGAATCAGATGGGTGTCAAGGAGTGTTCATATTGAATCTTCAATAGAAATCTTCATAAAGAAACTGTGTATAAAGACTACGTCCAAGATTTTGAGGTTCCTGAAATTCTATCCAACCCCTTCTCTCCGGTTACAAAGTGCACTGCAATCAACTTCCGTATTGATATGTTACCGCGTCAGACATCCCACCTACGTAAAATCTTAAACACCAGGTTAGGGACAGAGCATGATGTTTGCTAATTGTCGAACAACTTGATAGCACATAAGAATAATATTAATAAAAACCCCACTTAATATTCTGAAGCTATGCTAAAATGCCACATGCTACACAACTGTAACTTGAACAAATCAAAATTCTCATAACAATCTCTCTTCCACCCCACTCCTTACACGCCGTTCTTCTTTGAAGTTTTTGTTTGTTTGTTTGTTTTGCAACTTGGGAAATGCTCCAACGCATAACCCTAACCCTAACCCCAACCCTAGTCTAAAACCCACTGCCTGGAGCGTCATCATGCCAGCGTAGGATGAACAAAGGCCTACAAGACTCATTTTATTCGTCTGCAAAAACTCAGAGGTTGCAGGACTTCCGATTCCCTTCTGCAGCGCCAGGATAACAAAAAAAACCAATGCACGGTTGCTATAGATCCGCCGACGCGGGCCGCGCGCGCTCAGACCCCGGAAACTTCCCAGTGGCAAAAAAAGGGGGGGCGCGCTCCGCACCTCGGACTCACCGGCAACCGGAATTCTACGTTCTGCTGCGCTAGTAGCAGCAAGTACTGCCTATAACCCGCTGTCGACAACGCCATAGCCCCGGCTCGCGCTCTAGAGCCGTACGCGCGCGCGTGGAGCAGGAGAGGCGGGGTCAAGACTGGGAAAAGGAGGAAGCCGGATCGAAGCGCCCGGCTTTGGGAGAGAAGCGCAGGATTTTTTTTTTTTTTTTAAACTGATCTGAATGATGGGGAAGGCGGTGGTTTCTATCTGAGCAAAGCCAATGACGGTGAGGATAACTACTACATCCGTATGGACCCTGCTGCCAGGGGATTACAACCATAGGGACCGTACTGCCACGCAAACGTGCTTGACGAATAAATGGTAATTGTAAATTTTTCAATAGGTTCGGCTATATAGGATGAGTAAAAGAGATAAGCACGGGTAGGGTTCTTTGCGGGTTCTGATCTGCAATATTTATTGTTAACAAGAGAGAACTGCAGCTTGCTGAAGAGCAGAACTCGGTTGTTCCCCCCCTTCCAGTTCGGTGAATTTGTAACCTTGGGATATCGGTTCACCGTAAACGAGATCAGCTTAGCGGATCTGGGCGCGTAGAAGTGCCGGCGGTCAGCACCAGAGCAGAAAGACTGCATTCACCCAAAAAATAATAATCATGTTCTTTTGAATGATAAGTAACCGGAAACAGGATCATAACACAATTAAAATGTTGAACCTTCGCTCCACCTTAAGAAGGCGGTCGGCAGTGCGATCGGAGCGCCGCCCTGTAGCATGGAATCATGGAGTGGCTCTTCTCTGATTGGTAAACTATTTTCAGACCAAGCAGGATATTTGTAGCTTGAAAGCCGCTAAGGGCCAAAACATTGCGGTGCTTCAAAGATAAGGATTTAACTCCTTTCTTGCAGAGAAATTCCGCAGCGGGATAAGTAAGTATAAAGAAACACAAACTTCATTCTGGTCTTTAATTATGTCTGCATTACCTTGCTCAAGGCCAGGCGGTGGAAATAAATATAAAGTTTAAAGTGTGTGTGTGTGTGTGTGTATGTGTGTGTGTGTGTGTGTGTGTGAAATAAATATAAAGTTTATATTTCTCTCTCTCTCTCTCTCTCTCTCTCTCTCTCTCTAATAACCCGAATAACCAAAGACAGAGAGAGAGAGAGAGAGAGAATTGAAGCAGTCTTGCTCTACATTTATCTCGAACATATATAATGCCACTTCCATACAACTGATTTTACAATTTAGAGTTTACCTGATTTATACTTATTTGGGTTAAAGCTGTGCCTGAAATTTTGAAAAAGTTATTTTTTTGAATGTATTTACTCTTTGTTTGTTTTATAATTTTAAAATTGTAAGCCACCCAGAGTCACTTGATTGAGTTGGATGGCTAGATAAATTGAATAAATAAATTGGAAAGGGTAGAGATGGAATCACAAGGTTTATGAAGCTAGACGCTGTTTTAAATCTTTAAAAAGTATTATGACATCGGTCACCACAAGAGTCCAACAGCATGTTGCCAGAATGGTGGACTTGGGTGGGAAACACCCCCCCCCCCCCAAAAAAAATCTTAGATTGGAAGGGCAAAAAACATCCTTGAAGGCAGTTGCAACCCATTTCTGTACTGCAGGCAAACATCACTAGGTGGACATATGGTGATTAAGATGTTGAACAAGGTGTAGTAAATCACAGGTTACAGTCTAACCTCAGCTACTGGATGCCTTTGTCAGTCTATCTCTCTCTGTCTTGATTGGTGAAGGAAATCAAGCAGGATTTAACTTTTTAAATATAAATTGAATTTAATATAAATTATCCAATCTAACTACTTGTATACAAGTTGGCTAGTTGTTTTTCACTCCATTAAACATAACATTTATGAAAGAAATTGGACTGTTGAGTCATTGTATACAATCTGGCACAAATTCTGTTCTTTTTAATCAAAAATTAATAGTGATTCCTTAGATTTAACAGTAGTAAAAAAGTGTTAGGGCTTCTGAAAGATTAACTTGTTTTATTTTTACAGAATATCACTTAAATTAGTTTTGGTAGTTTCTATTGTAACTATTTTTCTTGCCTTCATCTTTCAAATCCAGACCTCTCCTCTTTTTTATAAAGCTGTTTACGACATGGAAGAAAGCAAAACACCGAATACTGAAGCAGCAAGAGGTTGTCACGGCATTGTTGGAGAACTTGCAAGAAACTGGCAGAGCTGGTCCAAGGATCATGTGGCTTATCAGCAACAAAACCCATTTAGCAATGGCAACCAAGTAACCTTACGCACTGAGAGAGGGGATCCTGCTTATGGGAGACCACCTGAAGGCTCCAAAACTGAGCAGAGAGGAAAAGATGCACACACACTTATGGGCAAAGAAGTGGAAGAACTATGCTTAATTATACGTAACACTGGAAAGAGGGAACAGGATGGGCGAGTGAAAATAACATTTAAACAGCTCTTTAATAGGTATGTGACTATATCCAATAAACTAGTAGGTGTCCTCTTAAGAGCAAGGAAGCATGGCCTGGTTGACTTTGAAGGTGAAATGCTTTGGCAAGGAAAAGATGATAATGTAGTTATCACTTTGTTTGAATAATATAAGGATTATCCAGCTATTTCATGATTAATACAGAAATGTGTTAAAGCTCTTGAAACATGAAGGTGACTGACTGGCTTAGAACATAGGGAATCAATTGACATACTGGAAATAAGTTTTAAAATACTTGGTCATTATGCAACAAGAAATATGTACTTATTAAAGGAATTTAGTGAACATACTGTACATGGTTTAAAACAACTCAATACATTTCATGAGATTTGTTGTTCAAATTGCAAATGCTAATGAAAAAATTAGGATCACAGATATGAGTAAGAGGGTGAAATGCTTGAAATTAGTAATAATATTTTCCACTATATTATAAATTTCATATTTAAGAGCTGGTAACTTCGAATGTATATGCTGAGGAAAAGTCTTTGCTTTAGTAGTATACTAGTATATGGATTATAAATATGACTGACCCTGAATTGGAATTTTTTGAAGAAATCTAGTAACCCACATAATCAATATTTTGAAATTCAGGTGTATCCAAAAATATTCAAGAGGTCTATCGGTAACAATTTTATTAAAGGTTTCCTTTTTATAACACATTACGTTATATGTTTCACAGTTCTATCACATAAATTATCAGAGCAGTCTATATTTTAGCACATTAACATTTAAACATGATTAAACATGTTTATCCATCACCTTTAACAATAAATTGAATGAATCTTGTCAATAACTTTTACAAGCAGTATGTTAAAAAAAATGCATGCTACGTTTTAAATAAATAAAAAATAGGTTTTAAATCCATAAAGAACATAACATGGATTATATTTGGCATTCCCTGAATACTAGTCTACTGCATGCTAAACACACAATGTCAGTGCTTGCTTAAAATCATTTTGCTGTAACAAATCTGAGTATCTGCCTATATAATTTAAAAAGTAAAGATGTGAAAGTCCTTTCATGCCAGATTCTACGGAATCTACAATTTCTGCATCCTTGACAAACATAAATTTTAATCCAAGACCCACATTGAATATTTGATATTTTATGGTAGACCCTAAGTCCAAACTATTGCATGATTTTAAAATTTTCTATTAGTCCCTAACTATCTTAATACATGCATTAAGATACTGAAATTATTTAAAACTGTTCACATTCAAGCACATTCTCTTACTCTAGTTTAATGTACCAACTAAAGTTTTACATTGAAAGTACAAATGTAAGTCGTATTTCAGACCATGGCTTGTTGGCCACTCTGTGCCTGTAAATCATGTACACTTAGAATATAGCACCAAGACAATACTAAAAAGATCAGAAGTGTATTGTATAGGCACAAACCTTGTATTAAGACAAAAGAGTCAACATCAGATACATTTATTAAATTTCAATAAGTTTCAAGGGTTCTTTGCATTTGATCAGATAAGTACTTGTGATCTTATACGTTCTTGCATTCAGATATTTGCCTGAGAAATTTAACGTAGAGTTTGCTAATGAGTTCAAACCCTATCTAGCAGCAAATTCAGTAGTTGTTTTAAAAAGTCTAGCATTTTATCAACTACATCCAATCCTTTAATCTGTATTCAAAGATGGTAGTTTAGAGCAGGTTTCTCTCAACTTGTAGTGCTTTCAGCTTTCAGCCGTTCCATCAGCTGCTCAGCCTGTTTAAGAAGAAACACACATGGCTTATTAGCACCTTCCAGATATTATACACTGTCGTGTTGAAGAGCATAAGATTGTTCCCAAACACATTTACAAAGCAGAAGATCTATTGAGACAACCAGGAATGAACTAATTTGTATAATTAAGCAGCACCCGCTGGGCTTAATCCATATTCCTACCCAGTGAATGAAGCAACATACATATACAAGCTGGGCACTTTAGGACAGGGATCACTAACTCTTTTCAGCTTGTTTCCTCTTTTCCTTAGTCAAGGGATCTCTATGAGATTACTGAATCTTTTGGAAAATATGAAACATAAAGAGTTGGGATCTTGCAGATTTTGCCTTTAAAAATCATTTAATGTTGGTATTTTTCAAGACCCTGGTTTGGATAATGTATTCACATATATTACTTTATTAACCTTGTTAAGGGCAATCAGGTTACAGACTTAATGCAGCACCATCTTTCTTTGAAAGAACTTGGAAAACTTAACTGAAATTAGGAACTTGTTTCTAGCGTAGATGAGGTAGTATGAACTCAAATAGTATGAATAAAGAGGTTAAACCTAGAATTTAGTACTGCTATTGGAAGCATGCAATGCGGATTTCTGCTACCCTGACTATCAAAAAGATAGCTGATTACACTATTCTCTCCACTGTCTAGAGTTATTTCCTGTGTTCCTCTAGAACAGGGGTGTCAAACTCAATTTCATTGAGGGCCGCATCAGCATTGCAGTTACCCTCGGGGGGGGGGGGGGTGGATGTGGATGGAGTGGGTGTGGCCTACTGGGTGGGCATGGCCAGCTCTACATAATCCGCGTCAAAGTTGCCTGTGGGGGCCTGGGCAGGAGTGGGACAGATCTGAGGGTCTCTGGCAGAAAGGAGTGGGACCAGGGCAGAGCCCATCAAACCGGATATGTGAAGTAGGCGAGCACCATTTGCTGGCCACTTCCAGGCGATGGTGTATTTCTTCATTCCTCATAAAGGGTGACACCTCCCCAACATGCACCCAGGGGGTGGGGCCGACACGGCAGGGGTTCCTCGCTGTTTCCAGCATGGCTCAGCTTGGAAACTTCTCCCTTTTCCCTCAGCGTGGCTGGCTCAGGAATTCTGGGAGTTGAAGTCAAGGCAGAGGTCAACCCCGAGACCCCTTGAATGCGGTGTGCCGCAGGGGTCGGTCCTCCCCCCCTATTTAACATTTACATGAAGCCGCTGGGTGAGATCATCGGACAGCACGGGGTGAGGTTTCATCAGTATGCTGATGATACCTAGCTATATATCTCCTCCCCGAGCTCTCTCAGTGAAGCGGCTGATGTGATGGGCCGTTGCCTTGAAGCCGTGAGGGTCCGGATGGGGGTTAACAGACTCAGGCTCAATCCTGACAAGACCGAGTGGCTTTGGATGTTGCCTCCCAAGGATCATGTTAACTGTCCAGTGTTGACTCTAGCAGGGGAAAATATACCCCCTTCAGAGCGGGTTCGCAACTTGGGTGTCCTCCTTGATCCACAGCTGAAATTGGAACATCATTTGACGGCTGTGGCTGGGAGGACCTTTGCACAAGTTCATCTGTTGCACCAGTTGCGACCCTACCTGGACCGGGAGGCTCTCCTTACAGTCACTCATGCCCTTGTCACCTCACGTCTGGACTACTGCAACGCGCTCTACATGGGGCTACCCTTGAAAAGTATTCGGAGACTACAGTTGGTCCAGAATGCAGCCGCGCGAGTGATAGTGGGTGTTCCTCGGTACACCCACGTTACACCTATCCTCCGTGAGCTGCACTGGTTGCCTATTGGTCTCCAGGTCCAATTCAAGGTGTTGTTTATTACCTTTAAAGCTCTATATGGCTCAGGGCCAGGCTATTTGCGAGACCGCCTACTACCTCATAGTTCCCTTCGTCCGGTTAGATCCCACAGGCTGGGCCTCCTTCAGGTCCCATGGCCCAAGCAGTGCCATTTGGCGGGGCCGCGGGGGAGGGCTTTCTCTGTGATGGCACCCACATCTTGGAACCAGCTCCCCCCCGGAGATTAGGACCGCTCCCACCCTGTTGGTTTTCCGCAAGCTGCTTAAGACCTGGCTTTTCCGGCAGGCCTGGGGTTTATAAAATCTGACCCCTGGATGACTGTTATTGTATTGTTTGTTTTGTCATGTTATATTTTGTTTTTATTGTTAGCCGCCCGGAGTCCTGCGGGAGTGGGGCGGTTTATAAATTTTAGAAATAAAATAAAATAAATAAGTCCTCAAGTCATAAAAGAGCCAAGATTGCCTACCCGTGACCTAGGCCATGTCTCTCTTACATATGTTAAAAGTAGTTACCATGTTAAAGAAAAACACCTAAACACATGTAGGTTGTAGGTGGACTAAATGTAGGTAGCAACTTTATTCCTGGACAAGTTTGAATCACTGAGATTAAAAACATGCTGGTAAATACAAGCAACTATCACATAGCCATTGATAAACTAAGAGGGCTACTTGAGATGTAATTCAATGGGAAGTAATAAGTCAAATGGAATTATAATTAGCACGGCTCTACAGTAGTTGGAATGAAAGAAGAAAAAGTGCTTTCTAATGCATGTGTTGCACTCGTCAGCAACTCTTTCCTAGGATTAGGCTGCAACTGTGGGCAGTAGTCTTGTTACGTTGGGGAAAGGTACAGCTGCTTTAAAGATGGGAGCACACTTCAAAATACATCTTCCCCTTCAAAATAATGCACAAAGTACAAGAAAAGGACAAATTTACAATATTTCTAAGGAGCCTAAATCAGGAATAGCCTTGGTGTGGATTCATAAAGGATGGCAGTTCAATTCCAATGAGTGCTGTAAATGAAATATTATCTTCAAGTATCCATTAATGAATAATGTGGGGGAGGAAAACTGCATATTTATCATGAAACTGTTTGATAGCTTTTTCTAACAGCAGCAATAAAAGTCAAGTCAATTAATAGTGAAATCACTTACTGTAATAAACCAATAGGAATTGAGTCGGTATATCATCCGGGACAAGAATCCCAGCTGACTAGCTGGAGCCAAGACATGAAGGTGCAAGTGAGCTATGGAGCAAAAGGGAGGCCAGTGAAAGCCCATCCTGGAAAAACAAATGTGGCAGCAACAATTCAGACGCATAAAACAAGGCTCCAGAATCAAGGCACACCATAAAGATTTGAATCCTTGCAGCAACTTGACAGCATCACTGGGAGATTCCATGCAAGTCATTCTTGTTTTCCACATTGTTTACCTTATTCCATGCAACAAACTAGCCCTTTCCAAAAAATTTTATAGTTATAGCACTTTGCATATATTATTCATACTAATAATTGCTCAATTTCTTTTCATTTGGAATTACACAACAGAGCTAGTGTTTGCTTATGCTGACCAAAAGTCAGTGCAGATAAGATTACAACTTAGCAAGAACAATCAGGGAACTCTTGAGCATTTGGCAAGCAGAAAAGAGCATCCTTTATTTGATTTCTCTCTCAGTTTTCATACTGGATACAGAAGAGGGATCAGAACTATGTTGTTCCTCTTGAACTTCATGAGTTCTCATGGTAGATGCTTAACCATAAATCCATAAAGGAGTTGGTATCTTAGTACACGTGATTTCTGGGGAAAGATACTCAATTAGTGATCATTTTTCTTTTGAAATGTTTTCAATTAAACTCTGAAACAAGGCTTTTGAAGATATAAAACATTCGCCTTTTGTGAACTTGATTATCATGAGGCATGTCTGTACTCCCATAGTGCCAAATTCAGTGGAGTTCCAATAATAGTTCCTATAATGCAGTCATGCAGCATACAGGTAGTGGGGCTCTACAATCCTCAACTTAGGACCAGTACGTTATGGTGGATTTATCTTTGAACTACTTACGACCAGATTCAAAGTTCATTTGATCAGCAACACAATCACATTTATAACCAGAGTCACATAATTACATTTTACAATGGTTTTGCTGAAATCCAGCACCCAGTTTTTGGCAAAAATCACACCATAGCAAATAATAGATTCGCTTAATAACTGTGGCGGCCACTTTATGATCGCCATGTTCCCTTAACGACTGCCACAAAAAAAGGTCATAAAATCAGGTTGGTTACATAACTGATCTGGTTTACAACCATCACAACTTACGACTCTAATGGGCAGGCTCCATTACAACTGTAACATGATGATTACCTGTATGTTTAGCTTGCCATTTACATAATAGCATAGCAATTTATTTATTTATTTATTTTCCGGAAACGTACCTTATATCGTCCAAGTTAGTGCACTTACTCCACTGAAGGACAGCTTTTCCAACTGCCATCATTCTCTCCACTGTCAAAAAATTGGTCAGAGAAAAGGAAGAAAATTAGATTTCTGAAGTTCAGCCATTCACTGCTACAGACATATTGCTAACTCCTGTTTAACGGTCGCTGGAATTTATTTTTAAAGAAACCCAGTTCTGAGGACACCTAAAATAAAAGAGTTACCTTTTTAACACGTCACAAATTAATTTGCTTATATATGTTTGTACCCAAGTACACATAAATCAGCCTTCATTAAAGGATTCTTGAGACATGTAATAGTTTAAATAAAACTATTCATGCAAACATGTATGTATTATGAAAAGAAACAATATCCTGAAGCCCAATTAAGCAGAATAAAAGCAGGTTGGAGTTTGGAAAAAAGTGTATTTTTAATAAGGCATTTGAAAAAGTGCAGGGGCAACTTTAATTTATCCTTGGGGTAAGGGTAGAAAGCATGGTTAAATGTGGGTACCAAGAAAAAAAGACCCCATACTTTTAAAAACATATATGCACCCAGATATTATTCAACACAACATAATTTATTAACATGTACAAGCCCAGCCTGACTCTAGAGAGGAAATGGACATAGGGTAACTCACAACATACTCCACTTATGCCAACCAGACTTCTTAGCCCATCTACTTTGTGTGTATTTTACAATATTCATTTAATTAAAATATTGAGTAAAAAGATAGCATTCTGCAAAGGACTTGCCTTAGCTGTATATTTATTTTCTCAAGATGTTTTGGGGCCTCACAATAATACTACTGAAATTGAGAAATAATTTTAGAATATCTAGAGAAATCATTTTAGCTCCTAATAAATGAATAATTTGGGATTTCCATTCCCCTCAGGGCAGCAATTCTATGAGTGAAGCTACCATATGCTCCCATCTGTTCAAACACGTCTCCAGCTCCAAAAGGGTTCTCCCCAATCCCTAAAAATTAAATGCTAAACCTATCAGGCCCCAAGAACCAAAAAAGACACAAGGAGTTATTTCTGAGCAATTCCTTTATTGTTCCTCACCTACAGACACAAACCTTACCAAACTAAGCAACTATTTGCATCACCATAGATGTACTCTGGGAATCACTAGAGAAGAGCTGTTTTAACTCTCTGTCTCCTGACCAAATTTTCCATGCTTTGCTGCCTCTTTACCCTCTAGAATGCAGCCCCATTCTCCTGGAAATCCAGGCTACATTCCCCCACATAACCCTACCAAAATGGGGGTGGGTTAGTCTTGGTTAACAAATACAATGGGATAATTGTTATTTGGTAACATATTTAGCTCTGAGTTGTCCTGATACTGATATCTAATTTTGCCTTGGCTCACCCATATATGTGGAGAACTGTAAACCAATAATAAGAGTTTTAGACAGATTATATACTGATTATATACTGTTGAATTAAGAGAGGTGATTCTCCACTTACATAATGGTATATGCTCACTCTTAAGAGTCTTGCAATTTCCAGTGTGGTTCTTTGGTAACACTAAATAATGATGAGGCGCTCCTGGTCTGATATCTCGGAAGCATACCAAATCTTCATACTAAGGGAATATTTGAAAAAAGAATGTGTTAATGAAATTGCCTTACTGACAAGCTGCAAGCCATGAAAAAAACAGCTTCATTGGAAGCTACTGGAAATATCATTCTTCCCAAGAAAATGCAAATGTTGATCCAATACATACAGTACTTTGTCTTATTTCCCATTTGCAATATTCATGAGGAATTTTTCCTTAAATTGATTCTCAGGCAGACTGACAGCTAGGGTTTTAGCATAACCCTAGCACCCCCATTTGGATACAACTATTTTATAGATTAAAGTATATCAATAGCATAGCAACAACTGACAACATCTAAAAGCTAATTGTAGAAGAGAATATTTGTAGCCAGGGGTGTCAAACTCACAACGTCACGTGACACGACGTATCATGACTTTTCCATTACCGGCAATGGGGTGAGTGCAGTTTCGGCATGACGCATCTGGCCCGTGTGCTGGCAGTTTGACACCCCTGATTTAAATGAATTATCCAACTAGGTAATAGCATCATTGCAAGTGATTGTGGGGTTTGCTACCTGTTTATATGCAGTAGCTTGTCTTACAAGTTTGGGTGAGGATGTAATTTCCTCCTTCTAAGGAGGAACTTAATGATGCTACCTACTTAAGTAGTAAGTCTTCTGCAAATGATCAAGCTCAGGGAGCACCAAAGACCCCATAAAGGCTTACATTTTGAACTGCATCATGACATATTTCAATAGCACCCCCAAGTCAGGCTTAATTATTAATATTCATTCACCCTAGATCAGCAGACAGGCAAAAAAAGGCACAAGTCAAAATCAGTGACAGATGGTTGCATTAAGAAATGTAAGGGAATGAGGACAACACTTTCCTAAGTTGCAAGTCAGCTGATGTCAAAAAATAGGAAGAGATGACAAGACAGTCAGAGGTAGAAATTTGCTAACACAAATGAATCATGTTTTCACTCCTAAATTTCACCTTTTTGAGGATATTAACTACCATATGCCAGATATTGTGTGAAACTGTAATATAAATAAACCCTAGCATTATTCAATGCTCTTAATCTCTATGTGTATGTGTATACACACACACATGTACATATACATATGTACTGTAGTCATGAAATATAAAATCCACCAAAATTTACTCCCAGAGAGTCAGTTTGTTGTAGTGGTGAACGCATCAGGCTGGAAACAGGGCAGTCATGAGTTCTAGTTTCTGCTTTAGGCACAAAGTCAGCTGGGAGACCTTGAGCCAGTCACTCTCTCTCAGCCCTGTGAAGCAGGCAATGGCAAATCACCTCCAATACTCTCTGCCTAAAAAAGTATTTATTTCCAGAGCAAGGACAGAAGGTGCTATGTTTTCTATGACTACTCCTGCGATTGCTGCACTATCTAACAAGAGAGCAGGCAGGCAGGCAGGCAGGCAGCAGAACAGAACATTGAAAGATCTCAAATGGATCAGGCCACATACTTATCTGGTTCATTTTGTATCCCACAGTAACCATTAAGATGCATTTGGGAAGCTTCCAAATGGATGGGCTGGAAGGGAGCAACTTAGTATTTAAGGCATGGTGCCTATGAATCAGGAAAATAGCGAATAGGCCTCCATGCAGTAGCCACCGATACTATCCGATCCTCCCTAGTCTCTTTTAAAACGATCCAGCCCATGCCTACAACTGCGAATTCCAGCTCAACCATGCTCCATTTCCCATCACAGTATCCAGCCCAAAAGGCGATGAGCGGCTCAGCCACTGTCTTATCTCCGGCAAAGAGAAGAGTTTTCCACCGGTGGGCTATTGAAAAAGAGGGATTTTCCCGCGGTTCCCTAATGAGGGAGGGCTATCACTCTCCCTTGCCTTGCCTCGGCTTCTGTTGCAAAGCAAACCCCTCCTGGGTGGGGTTTTGCCTTCCAAGGAGAGCCGGCGGCATTCAGCGCCCCTCCTTAGCGCAAGGTGACCTTACGGCATCTATCAGTCAAAAGGGAGCCGATGCCCAAAGCCTCTCCTGTCAACTCCCAGGACAGATCCGGATTGAGACCTGCGCCAGGTTCAAGCCGGGCACAGGGGGTTTTGTGGCACCTCCTCGGAAGGTTGCCGGTTCTCCTCACCTCGCAAGGCAGCAGCTCAGTGCCCGTCTCCTCCCCGTGGGTGATTCGGCAGAAAATGCACTTGCTGTCGTAGCCGCCGTCCTCTTCTCCCGGCCTGCCGGCACCGGCTATTGGCGTGGCAGCGGGAGACGGGCCCGAACTTCCTCCTTGCTCCCCGGCCATCTAGGCTTGTATTTTGAGCAGGCCACCCGCTCGGTCAGCGACCCGGGAAGAGGGAGGGCTAAGCAAAGCCCGCGACCGCCACCTGCCTCCGCCCTTTGTCATCGCGCTAAGCTCGCCAGCCTATGGAGAGAAGGCAAAGAGGCGGCCCCTCGAGGCGGCCCTTGATTGGATCTGCAAAGCAGACAGGGATCAAAACCCACGCTTTGCTTAACTAGAGAAAAGGCTTGGGAGGCCGGTTTGCCTTCGACAGAACTGCTCAGAACCAGGCTCTCCCCCTCCCGATCTCATTCCTTCCAAGTCCATTGGAGTTGGGAGAGGAAGGATTTCATTTCCATTTCCCAGGTAGGCGGAAACAATTCACAATGCATCTGTACCCAACTTCCTGACCCTGATTTATATTTGGCTTTTGCTCTGCCAAAGTATGCGTTGTCAGCTGTGAGGCCTTCTGCCGCAGGGGTCCCCAATATCCGGCTGCAGCATGCTAGCAATCGGTCCGCCCAAACAAGCAAATCCCCATCCGCGAGATGCAGACAGCACACAAAACCACGCATTCTCCGGTCTGCGGAAAAACCTCTCTCCATGGAACCGGTCCCTGGTGTCCAAAAGGTTGGGGACCTCTGTTCTCTAGAGAGGTGTGTGCCTTTCCAAATCATGTCCGATCAATTTAATGTACCACAGGTGGTCTCCAGTCAAGGTGTAGAAAGATGTCAGCAACGATCAAGAGAACTGGGAGGCATCTGAGTTAAATTTCAAGTGTTGCAAAAGATCTGAATATTTATGCCAATGTGATATTTCAGTGTTTTCTTTTTAATAAATTTTCACTTTGTTGTTATGGAGTACTGAGTATAGATTAATGTGGAAAAAATGAATTTCAATAACTGTAGATTCAGACTGTAGCATAACAAAATTGACAAAAGTGAAAGTGGCCTGAATACTTTCTTTGAATGCACTTTACTTCTATATTGATAAAGATTCTAGATACATGTAGATCCCGGTGACTTTGGCATGACAGAAGTGGCCTTATCTTGGGAAATGCATTTTCTTAGCTTATTTATCAGCCAGTCAGCATCCTCAAATTAATCAGACTAGAATTTAATAAACCAGCTAGGATATCAAGGAGAGTGAAGGAAAGAGAGAGCTATAGTTTGTAAAATCCTAAATTGCACATAGGTGTACCTGCAGATCCACCAAATCTAATTTTGATGTAATTCATATGCTATGGAAACACATATAGACCCTCTATTGACAAGACCACCTTATTATCCATTTCCAAGGTGAAATTGAAGTCACATTCGCCTGCACACAGACCGACAATCTCACATAGGAGGGCCACACCAGTTCTGCCAGAGATAAGCCATACAAGTAACAGACAGCCTCACAATAGCCTGGTCATAAATGCTGGAGCATAAAGGTTCTCATGGATCCCCAGAAATTCATCACTGCACCGCTGATGAACAGTCAATAAATTATGAACAGAAACTGTTCCACCCCCAGCTCTCACTCTTCTTGCAACTTACGTCTACAAAACACACCCTCAATCCATGTCTTGGAAGAAACAAGTCAGAATGTGGGATTTTGTAGAGATGCTTAAATATATAGAGAGGAGGAAAAAAAGTTCAAGATAAAATACACAGAAATGCTTAATTCCTTTATTTGAAAATGTTGCGGTAGCACTGCATTACATATATTCAATATCCACAGTTTTTGAAGGATCATAGAATTTTGGTAGTACAACACTGTTTGGAATATATAACACATTTCTGACAACTATAATGGATAAATTGCAGGTAATAAGACTGGGATAGTTTGGGTATTAAAAATCTTTTGCTTGAAATGTGCAAATGCTCCATCTTTTAGTAAAACCATCTTTCGGTCAAGTGTTTCAATGTGTTAGGTAATAGCAGCTCATTGTTACAGTTGTGATCTGTCAGTAGCCTGAATGGTCAGAATACCTATTGGAAAGAAATGCAAAAAGCTACTGTCCCAGGTCTTAGCATATATCGTAAGGCTGAAAATCAAGGCTATTACTTCTGTGCTGGAATTAAGTTTGTACAGTACACGTGATAGATGCAATTTACTTTGCTTTTTATTTACATGCTGCAGCAAGCTTTAGTTACCAGTGTATTTTCCATTGCAACTGTGTACTCTAAAACAGATGTCTGTTTGCCCAATGTGGTTATGCACACAAAGTTTTGTAAACACCACTGTATCAGATAGTAACTTATATGATAAACTTAAGATTCAACTGCTAAATTCTCTTTAATTTCTGCAAATAAAGTACAATTAATTTCCGCAATCTAACCCGTCCATATAAAGTGAAAGAATGAAAAAAAAACACAATTTCATCAACCTTATACTGATTCTAATTTATTTAGGTCTATTCCTGATTATTCCCATGTGAGCTGAAAATAATGTTGTAAATAGAACATTGCTGAAAAGCATCAAGCTTTAATAACAAGCTCACAGCCTAGATGGATTTTGCACAGATGCTTAGTGAAAGTACTAAAGTATCACAGACAAAGAGTAGGATCAACACTTGCACAGAAGTACACTTTTAAAAAAATCCCTACTCACATGTCAACTTTGAGTTTTTTTAAAAGAAATGTCAAGGACCCCAAATCTTCTGATACAAACTTTAGGAATAGAGTTTACAATAGAGAGAAGCAAAAAACAGAAAAACATTTTGAATTAATTGTAGCCCAATTCTTACCAAATGAATGAATATTCTCAGCTAAACGTTTGGTTATCTGTAAATGTGGTCCAAATAGCTTTTTTTAATGGGAAAGAAATATAATTATTTTGCTTTAAAAACAAAAATTAACACCTGGTTGAAAATATTCAGGTAACCCAATTTTTTATTTCAAAATTTAAGTAAGGGTTACATGGTGCTAATTGTTTTTCTAGCAAAGGTTTTAAGTAATTTGCAAGGAATTACTTAAAAGGCCACTTTCTGTTTCAAACTACATGACTTCATTATCCAAAGATATTTCTATCTTGACAACCAATTGAAAACAAGATATATCTCTCTCCCTCCCTCCCTCCCTCCCTCCCTCAACATATCCTCCAATTGAAAGAACAAAAGGCACTAGCTATATACCTGTTTGAAATAATCCAGAATGTGTTCTGTCAAAAAACAAGATCCCAAAACTAACTGCAACCAATGACTAAGATGTTTTTACAAAATTAAAAAAACAAAATATAAAAACGCTTAAGGAATCAATTTTTTCCCTCACCACTGTTTAAGACGGGTGTCAAACTCGCCACGTCACGTGACGTGTCACAACATATTGTGACTTTTACTCCATTGCCAGAGCTGGGGTGGGCGCAGTTTCAGCATGATGCATCTAGCCCATGGGCCAGCAGTTTGACACTCCAGATTTAAGATATTATTTCAAATGATCAATCTTTCTAGGAAATTCTGACTTTTGAAATATTAAAAGGAAAATGGGTCTAGTAATATACTTTACAACCAATAAATATAGTTAAAAATATCTTTTAAGTGCTGTATACACAATTACTACTTTGTCAAGTAAACTACCACTTTAGACCGTAGAATTTGGTAATGCAACTATTCCCTCTTTTTGGTTTTCACTTTCACTGAATAAAAATACGCAGAGAATATACTATACAACTCTATGTTTTTCCACAGTATTCTTTCACAATTACAAAAAATGATACTATTTTAAACAAGCTCATATATATATACACATCACAACTGTCTTCCATAAACATCTTGCATTCATATTGCAGAAATGGTGACAGGACAAGAATAAGTTATTGACTAAGTTGCCTTTTTTAATATAAATCAATCTCTCCCATTTTGCCTCAGAATCTTGTATAACCATTGAACTAGCCTGTCTTCCAGGGCTATTCTATAGCAAAGCAATTACATTCTACTTTTTGATGTCCACTGAGTGGTCAGGAAAGCAAAGTCCATTTGTTTAAGGCAAAAAGATCATTCAAAAGTCCATATTTCCAGATCCTGTACAACAAAGTCTTCTTTTTTGGAGAGAATATCATTGTTGAATGTGTTGCAAGAGTTACTCCGACCATGATACAAATCAGCATCTAACCATAATCCAAATTTGCCACTGTAAAGAAAAGAACATTAACTAGAAAGTTTCATTTGTTCGGTTATAGGCAAAATTCAGGAAGATTTTTTGTTTTGCATTTCAGTGTTCCATTTTTGTTAATAAGAAGACCTAAAAAGCACTAAACTTCTTCAAGTAGAATAAGCACAACTTAATACATTTGGATGGATTCTGCTGTTAATTTTTAACCAGAAACAGGTTTTCTTTGATAGCAACCATTATTTTAAAAAAGGAAGAATATCTAAATTTTAAAATATTGTTCTGTATATAAACATACGGAACCATACAATAAGCCACATAAGACTTCTAATGTCAATAGAATGAGGCAAGCATATCTGATTGTTTTATTCAAATGTCTGGACTACTTAATCAAAAGAACAGTATCTTTATCCATTGTGTATTTATGTGTCAATGAAAAGTAGGAAGTACAGCTAATCCTTGTTTAACAATCATATATTTAGCAACTCTTTGAAGTTAAGGCAGGATTGAATGAATGGAGCTCGCCCATTCCCCAAAGTTACAAGGACAGGTCCTGTGATCAAAAGTCAGATCCTTGGGGCAGCCTACCCATAGTTACAACTGCAGGGGCATTTCAACTTCCCAGTCAGCGTATCTCTCCTCCATCTCTGTTCTTTTTCCCACTGCAGCAGCACTTCTCTGTAGTGGCAGTAGTGCTGGGGCTGAATTAGAAGGCCTTCAGCAGTTTCAGCCAGCCATCACCACTCTGGGGCGGAGGGCTCTATTTCAGCTCCAGCATTGTTACAGGGGAGTGCAGTTTCAAGCCCCATGTTTCAGCCAACCAGCTGCATGCCACACCAGAGCCACTCCCACCGCCCTGAACTCCACAGGCCCTGCAATGCCCAGCTGACTTTCATCATCTTCCTTCTGCTCCTGAGAGGCCTCAAAAACTTTCTGGGGGCTTTCCTAGGTATCGTGAGAACAGTGCATGAAACCTGAAGAAAAAGACCTGGTGTGATCATCAGCTGCCTTGTATAGAGCCAGGCCAGGTGTGCTTCATCAGTAGCAGGAGGAGGAAGGTGAAGGGCAGCTGGGTGTGGTAGGTCCTGCAGATTACAACGTGGTAAAGCCTGGTGGGATTTTGCTATGTGGTGCCGGAGTGACTGGCTGAGGCACAGAGTTTGAGAGAGCACTTGATGGCAGTGGCACTGGGACTGAAGTAGAGGCCCAGGGGCAGGTCAACATAAAGACTACTGAAGGCCCCAGGTCTCTACTTCAGTTCCAACAATGCTTCTTAGGAGTGCTGCTAAGCAAAGTGATTAAAAGGGCAAAGATGGCAGGGGAAATGGGCAGGTGGGAGACTTGAACAAGAAGCAGTCCTTTACCTTGCCAAGGCTTGGGGCTGGGAGGGACTTGGATCAGGGTGACTTCTTGTCTAACGACAGGTGGAATTTAGTTAATGAGGGCAACATGGATTGCTGGGATTGTCATTACTAAGCAATATGTTGTGCTTTATGACCACATTGCTTAGAGATGGAAATTCCAATCCCGATTACTGTTGTTAACCGAAAACTACACACTCATCCACTCATCCAAAATTTTATTCATTCTCTTAGAAAAATCGTTTTTGAAGCATAGTTGGCTGCAAGCACACAGTTCTCACCAATATGATTCATAATTTCAGAAATGTAAATAACTTACTCTCCACCGCCAAATTCTAAGGAAGTAACATCTCCATTGATAAAATAGGTATTTTCTCCACTCCACTTAAAATCCTGTGGGAAATAAGGCATTAAAATTAATAAGCAAGATCGTGCTAGCAAAGCTATATGCACATTGTCTTATTACATCAGGAGGAACAAAGTTAGGAGGAACAAAAGAAGAAAGAGAACTACACAACCACTCATTCAACAATCAAAGTTGCAATGTTTGATCAGGTGTCGTTGACTTCTGATAAAAAATTGATTAAAAAATTGTATAACTTTTTATTGAATTTAAAAATGGAAGACGAACAAGTGAAAGAAACAATAATTATATGGGCAAAAAATTTTGGATATAACATAGAATTAGAGAAATGGCAAAATGTTTGGGAAAGAAATTATAAGCTGAAAATGGTTACTTCATATAAAGAAAACTTATATAAAATGTTCTATAGATGGCACTTGTTAGGTTAGCAAAAATGTTTAAAAATATGTCTAGTAAATGTTGGAAATGTAATCAAATTCCCAAATACTATCACTTGTGGTGGACATGTGTTAAAGCAAAAAGGTTTGGACCAAAATACATACTTGGTTAAAAAAGATGTTAGGGAAACATGCAGATTTTAAACCTGAACTTTTTTTTACTAGGCATAATGCCAGAAAAAATGGATAAACAAAATGTATATTTAACACTACATATACTAATAATAGCAAGGATTGTATTTGCGCAGCACTGGAAAAATGAGATAATACCATAGAAGGAAATAATAATTAAGAAAATACTGGACTGCCCGGAAATGGATAGACTCACACTGAAAATTAAAGAAAAAGAACATACAGAATACTTTCAAACATGGAACTTATTCTATTAATGGTTGGAAAAATGAGATAGAGAGTAAGAACTTAACTTTTATGACTCAGTAAAAATCAACCCAGACAACATATTCATTAAGCACAAATGAATTGTAATGATAAAAAATTAATAAAATATTTTTTTAAAAAAGTTACAATGGTGCCCCATAAGTGGTATTACAACTGGTCTTCAAAGTTCCAGCACCCCCATGGTCACATAATAACAATTTAGAGACCAAAGAGAAAAGCCAACCATATAAGCTAATTATACAAATCGTCCTCAACCCTATGACCATTCATCCAGCAATAGTTCAAGATTATGACGATGCTGAAAAAAATGAACTTACAACCTGTGTCTGAAATTATAGCCACCGTGATGCTCCTATAGGCACATGATCAAAACTTGGGTGCTTGGCAGCTCACCAACAGTTACAACTACAGAGGTGCTGCCATTCCTCTCATCCACCAATCTCCCCACAATATATGTCCTCTTGACTGACTGGCCATAGCCCTCAACTTCTACTACTCAACCGCTACTACTACTACTTCTACTACTCAGCCCTCAACCGCTACTACTGAGAAATGCCACCTCATCACCCACACCACAGCCAGCCACACCAGCAACATTACATAAAGTCCCAGTTGCCCTCACTGCTCTGCACTCCATAGGCTCTGCCACACCCAGCTGACTTTTTTTTCCCCCATGGCTCACAAGGCATGCTTGGTTGTGTGCAAGATAGCTGCTGGATATACCAGGTCCCCATGACCCCATCCCTGCTGGCCTTTCATAAGACACTGAAGACCTTGTTATAAGCTTGAGCCTAGGACCCCAAATGTTTGAAGGGACTCATTTCCCAATTATATCGACATCCGTTAATGATGTCTATGGAGATTCTCAGTCATCCATGTTATGGTTGTCCCAAAGTTGATTTTTCAGGAGACAATTGGACTTTCTTGGTTTTCTTTGAAGATGTTTCGCTTGTCATGCAAAAAGCTTCTTCAGCTCTGACTGGATGGAATGGAAGGGAATGGAAGGTGACCCTGAGGACATAGACAGACCTCCAAATGGCCTCAATGACTCTCTAAAAGAATGTGAATGACCAGCTGTCTACAAGGAATATAAATCCTTCCATTCCCACCATTTAGTCAGAGCTGAAGAAGCTTCTTGGGTGAGAAGTGAAACGTCTTCCAAGAAAAAAAAGTAAGTCCAGTTGCCTCCTGAAAAAGCAAAGTACAAAAGTAAATATAAGGCAGCCAAGAATAATTATCATGGATGTCTCAACATCCATGATAATTATTCTTGGCTGCCTTATATTTACTTTTGTACTATACTGTAATTGCTTTCAATTGGTTTATGAATGTTCATCATCCAGTCAGTTTCTGAGAAATTAAATAAATAAACAAGTGTTTGAATATTCCTGAATTATTCCTCCAATCATGGCTCACAAACTAATATCACTACATTCAAAGAGTATGCTAAACCAAAACTACAGACGCACGCACACACACACACACACACACACCTTCAAAGGTTTAGCACACAATGAGTAAATCACATTGTTCTCATATAAAAGTATTCAACTGTATTCAGAAACATACCTTGAAAATAGGATTGAATGTGTACAGAAAAGTTTCTCCAGTACCATAATAGTGGTCACTAAGTCTGAAAGCATGAGTTGCATATGCCCCAAATATCTGCCAAAATAATATGTAAAACAGATATAATTTTAATGTGGAGATATTTATGGACAGTGTACAAATGAAAATTACCGGTATATTGTATGTCACTTGACTGCAATTTCTAAATGGAAGTGGAGATATGAATATTGAATTATCAGTAATCAAGAGCTTGTAAATCCTTAGCTTCATCTCTCCATATTCATACATAAAACAGGCAAAATATACCCAAGTGTTTTTCATGTCATCTTGTGAATCAGACTTGGCAACTTCCCAATTAGCTTAGGAACACAGTAACAGGTTGGAGAAGGCAGCAGTAAAAGAAACCTAAATCAATGAAATAGTTTTTTCAGCAAGAAATTCAGAGGATTTACATAAAACAAAGTCTCTAATTCAGCCTTCTATTAGCCTAAATCTTTTTTAAAAAGTCAAAATCTGATACATATAAAATAAGAGAAAGAGAGAGGGAGAGGGGGAGAGAGAGAGAGGGAGAGAGAGAGATAGAGAGATGCACAAATATAAAATGAAATTCTGGGAAGAGAGGAAGGGAGCTACCTGGTTGTCCATGTCTCTGATGACTAATAAAACTGGACCATCAAGAGAACATGATTTACGATACAGAGTTTTCAAGCTGGTTCCATGCTCTTGTGTACTGTAGACAAGCTTCCATGGATATCCCTGCACTCGGGCTGGGAGGGATTGAGCAAGCTAGAACAGAAAAAAAAAAAATCCTCTTCTCGAAAAGGCAACATGTTCCTTTTGTCAGTTATTATAAATAAATTTGCTGTAAACAGTCTATGTTATATTCACTGATACGCAGTAACTGAAAAAGTATGCTTTTTTGGGCATCAGAACAACATGTACTGCTTGTAATGACCATCAAAAGAGTGAGGAACAACATCATCATCACTTCAAATGATCACTGAATTAAGCAGCGAGGATTACTAGTATAGATTTCCTATTGGATCAGAAAGTCCAAATTTAAAATGTGGCTCCTTGGATTTGATGCTGCATTTTCAAACAAAAGGCAATCATGAATTTTTAAAAAATCTGGCTATCCTTTTATCCTTGGAACAGAATTCTGGCTTCTAGAAAAGAGAGAGGAGCCTTAATCTTATGCCACGGAGTGTCAAAACTGGAAGAATCTTAGGTGAGATTAAATGACTAAAATTGACTAAAATTACATCTCCTGAAATTAATACAGAAGGCCTCAAAAATCTGGACCAAAGCACGGAGCATGCAGGAAGTACTTTTTAAGATAAGGCAGTATATCTAATTGCTTTACAGTGAGGCACTGAGGGGAGGATGTGGTCTATGGTCTTTTTTACCTTTAAGAGGAGTGATTAGTTAACAGATGTCTGTTAGATAGCTACCCTTAATAAAAGTAATTTGTTATATATTGATAACATCCCTTTCAAGGATAGCTCTTGTTGTTTTCTGTCTGTTGTTTGAGTTCAATTATCTTCCTGTTTATAAAAGGACTTTTGTACCTTTGGGAGTGACCTGATTGTATGCCCTGGATTCAAAGTAGTGTTACAGGGACTTGGAAATTAAAAAAAAACAAAACTAGAGGCATTTTAAAGCTAACTAATGTATTATTTATTTGTGCCATAATAAACAAGTTGCTTTTAAAGAAGACCCTTGTAGCAACAAACTAACATAGCTACCCATCTTGAATTTCAAATTACCATGAAAAAGACAGTAGGTCTGAGCAAAAGGAAATCATATCAGTGTTTACCTGTTCCACATGCATATTTTCTAAAAGCGCACTTTGGTTTTTTAAGGTAGGCAAAGCATCATCTTCACCATCATCTTCACAGTAGCTGCAGACACTCTGTCGGCGTTTTGCCTCTTCTACAGTGACAATCTAGACAGATGAAAATGTTTTTGCATCTTTCATAACGTTATACGAAAAGTTGGTAAAGGAGAAAATGTATTCTACACAGCAATGTTTCTCAACTTCAGCAACATGAACAAGTATGAACTTCAGCTCCTAGAAGCAGGCTGGCTGAGGAATTCTGGGAGTTGAATTCCATTCCTATTCATTCAATGAGGTTGAGAAACACTGCTACATAGCAGGGGTGTCAAACTCGCAACGTCACGTGACATGTCGCAACGTATTGCGACTTTTTTCCATTACCGGCAATGGGGTGGGCGTGGTTTCACCATGACGCATCCAGCCCGTGGACCGGCAGTTTGACAGCCCTGCTATATAGGGTCAAGGAATCATAACAAAAGTAAATAACCTCAAATGTGCCACTGCTGAAGCACAAGGGTTTTAGTGGTTGACATCCTGACAGAACTCATAAAAACCTTTATAATAAACTATGTCAAAATGTAATGAAGTTGTAACAAGCTGTCAAACAGTTTGCACAATGGCTACACTATAAAGTAGTTGTGTAAACATGTAAATGATTTCAGAAAGCCTGAAAGTATCAAAAAAAGGGGATCAGGAAGCAAGTATCAAAAACTTTGAGCTAAGGGAAGGAAATAACTCAATTTTCAGCCATAGCATCCACATCTTTAAATCTGTTCACATGATAGAATTAAACATAAGAACTTCTATAAAATCATTTAAATTGTTCATCTCTTAGACATTTTTCTTTGTTTTTTCAGCAACAGCAGCTTCATCACTGCCATTTGAAGTAACCAGTCATGTATACAGTGACATAAGTAATACTATGAATAGGAGAACCCACTTAAACAACCCAAAACTTAGACAAATATTTAAAGATAATATTTTATAGTTATATTATGCGCATGCCATTTAAAATACTTAATTTCAAATGTGGCTATGAAGAGAACATTCAGGCATCATTTCTGAATTAAGAATATTTAAATAAAATACTATTAGCTTTGTTATTAGCTTTATAATATTGCTAGGTCAATTCTTGCCATTGAATACAATGAGATTACAAGATATGGGCTGTAATCTAAAGAAAATTGCCAAATATTGCCAATTGACAAGTGAGCACCTGATTGTTATTTCGACATTTCTTGACAATGCTTCTTGACATTATTGTAAAGTTTCTTGGAACTACTAGATGAGACTAATCCAGAATAAAATGCCTTAAAAGGTAAGGCTATGGTTTAGTTAGCATGTATTCCATGGAAATGTGCTATAAGACTTTTGTTTTGGAGAGAAATTTATGATGAGCAGAATTTATTTTCTATCATTTTATAGAGTATCTATTCTCCAAAATGGCCATTCATATAATTACATCAGCTGCTAATTTATTTTATGCTGCGATCCTACAGCCTAAGTTTCATTTCAGGTTTGAAACATAAACCTGGCATTATATTTTAATCAATTGGTTTGGTTTATGATTAAGGTTTCTCAGTATTGAAGTATTGGAGTATGTTTAATTATTTAGAGGACTTATAGCCCACTTTTCCATTTCTGTAAAATGCTCATGGTGAGTTATATGAATAATAACATCAGTTACTAAACAACAATAGTGATCAAAACATTATTATAAAATAATTAGAAACGCAGGCTATAAGAACAAAAAGGAAGTTAATATATTTTCCAATCTGGAAAGAAAACACGAACCAGTTTTAAGCAATTGCATTTCAAAGACAGAATAGATTTTGGGTTAAATAATTCTAATCCTCAACTAAAAATAAAACAATGATCAAAACAACATAGATGAAAATTTATTCCATAATAGAAAGAATGAAAATAATCAGGATCAGCAATACATCTTGAAGCTATAATTGTATACTAAGTGACCAAACTGTAAATCCTACTAATCCCAAGACTCAGCCATTCAAAAGAAACACAGAAGCATGTAGCATGAACCCAAATAAGCTGCCTTTCCTGAGAAACAAATTATCTTAACATTCTCAGGCACACGCTAAACAAATCTGTAAACATTTGTTTCTTCTGAAGTTGCCTTTCCATTCTGCATATGAACTTGCAACTAAATCTTCCACGTGCGTTCAGTTCATGCTTTGTTGCTAGCAAACAAAAGAACTGGGGGGAAAGTCAAGAGATTTCAGCAGATTTCCATACCTGCACAAAAGGTTCCTGTTCCTCCTCAGACCTAGCATAGTACAGAATTTGAAAATTCAAAGCCATTCCCTTAACTCTCATTTTTTTTAGCTTCGTTCCTTTCCCAGTTTCAACTTTTGCTTACAAAAAGAAGCTGCCGCTACTTGCTCCGAGGAGTGAAAGCATACAGTCTATATACTTCCTTAAAGAATTAACTTTCGTTTTCCACTGTATATAACAAAGAGTAACCTGGCAACCTTAAATTTCATCAGAGGAACTACCATAAATGTACGTACTTAGGCAGCTGCTGCAGCTAATTTAGAGATCATATCTTGGTTATTATTTTGAAATTAATTTTCATTCTCTTATTTGTGAAGACCAGGCTTATTCATTCCCATTCCAGGAAGCTGTAATGGGAGTATATAATATAATTCAGTCTCACTGGTTTATTATTGGTATTACTCTTCAAGCTCATCTGATTGAACAGGCTTAATTATCATTACACTATGAATGTTTTTTATTATGGTCACTGACCAGAATTGCAAACAAAAACACATTAAAAATAAAGTACTCTCCCATCTCATTCTCACCCATCAATTCATGTCATCTAACAAAATATTGTGCGCTCTTTCTCACGCACATCACTTTCATTAAGTTGCACATTTTTTCTAAAATCATCTGATTGTTTTTTTTCAAAATTACCATTCATTAGAGCATAACATACAATTACCACCAACTATGCTACTGTCATAACCATATACAGCAATCTAGATAACACCATACCTTCCAACATGCATTATAGCCCTTAATTCACTATTAAACCTGCACCTTCCATTCGTGTGCTGATCATCACCACTCCACAAATCAGGAAACTTTCATTACATTCTGTCACATATTTCCCTTATTATTATGTCCATCAGTTCAAGAAATATCTATTTTTCTTTCATTTCACTTGTTAATTTATGCTATCTTCTATTCATACGTCACACGTTTTCATACAGCTTTGCCGTCACCAGATGTGCTCATGGGTATTTTCCTCTGCCCCATCATGTTTTGGTCAATTAAAGCTTTCAAGTAAAGCTTTTTTAATAAGGTAAGAAAAGAGAAAAATAGATTTCCAGCCTTAGCTATACCTATGTTATACAGAAAGTTGTTTGATTTATTGGTTTACAGATTTACATAATAATAAAAGGTAAAGTGAATTATGGTCTTGGAACTAAAAAAAACCTGTTAATGAGACTGAAATATAACTAATCAAAGAGGGAGAAGATTGAAAGAAAACTGATGAAATTTTGTGGAGCAGGAAGATATTTTCCAAATGAAAGTCAATACTAATTTGACTGCAATTTGATAATCTCCCATCTTGAAACTGAACAATATGTGACAGGGAACTGTATTTTTGGCTCTGGGAATATCTATTCACTAAGCAAAACCTATTTCCGTAATCTTGAATCTTGTAAAATGGAAATTCATTAACAGTTTGATTGTTGCAACAGGGAAATGACTTTATTTAACCTATGGCTAATCAGATATTTGGTGTAAAACTAGATAAAGAAGATATTTATTATTTTTATGTAAACATCGTCTATAAGATGCCCAACTGTAGTACTTTAAGAGCCACTATTCAAGCAGCATATAGAACAGTGATGGCAAACCTATGGCACGCGTGCCAGAGGCGGCACTCAGAGCCCTCTCTCTGGGCACTTCTCTGAACTGCTGGTGGCAGGCTGCGGAGTCCCAGAGTGCGCCGGTCGAGGGGCCAGCAGGCTGTGGCTGCTGACGGACACTATTGGCCCCCATGCGCTCACTGGCCTCTGTGTGCGGGGGCTGATAGTGTCAAGCAGCAGCTGCCCCGGCCCCTGCCTTGCCCTGAGATAATGGCACCCCCATCCTGCCTTATCTCACCCCACAGGACGAGCCTCCTACCCATCACCCCACCTGCCAGAGACCTCTGGATCTCCCCCAACCCTGCCCGGCCTCCACAGACATCCCTCCCCACGAGCAACATCAAGGTGACCACGCCCACCTTGGCCACACCCATCCAGCCTGCCATGACTACCACAGCCACCCCCACCCAGTGGGCCACGCCCACCTGGCACCCGGCAATAAATGTGGGTTTTGGGTTGCATTTTGGGCACTCGGTCTCTACAAGGTTCACCATCACTGATATAGAAGTTGAGTATCAAATCCTTTTGTATTGTCTCGTCCCCTTATCCCTGACACAGTTATTTGTTTTTCAATTGCCAGTTGGCAAACACAAGGACTATAAACTGGACCAAAAAGAAATAATCCAAGGCTAAGGGGATTACATGAAGCAGAAAACTGTTAATTACAATCTACTGTACAGTCTCTGATAATTCCAAATTCAAAAAACAAAACACTCACCTCCCAGCTTTTTGTTGAGGGTTCACTGAAGAAATTGTCTATCATGTCAAGCTCCTCCTTTTCCACCACCACAAAACCCTGCTCCTTAGCATCTTTGCCATATATATCTGGAGACCATTGTACAAAAAAGGTATACAGATGATCTACCCTATCAAACAAAGAAACAAAAAAAAAGTTAAGAGTTTTAAAAACAATAAACTGGAGGATGCAAATTCACTTGATTGCTAATCAAGTTTAGTATCTGTCTAAAAAAGATTTTGCTCAAGCGTATCATGCCACCGGAGCCATCATTGTTAAATTTTATCCAGAAGCATTAGAGTTAGTCTTTCTTATTGGCTGGGGACCAACAGCTGCTGGGAAATGACAGCTCCTGCTTCCTTGCAACACAAAATGATATCATAACAGGGATAAATCATCCTAGCTCCAGCCATCAGCCAACAAGCAAACATCTTTCTCTTCCCTCCTCCAAGTAGACTTTGGTCTCTTCTATGAGCAGTGAGTAGTGGTTACTCAAGGCTGGGAATTATGCATATATTGTGCAGAAAATATCTTCTATAGAAACATCAATAGCAAAGTGCCATATTAGTGCACAAGTAAATTAGTATATTCTGACAATGTCAATCTGCACATTTCTTCAATTAAAGCCATGCAGTTCTTCTGAGCCAACTCTGGAGAAAGAACACTCTATTGTAAAGAATGAATAACTTAAGTTTGACAGACAGTAGTCAGCCCATTTAAAGGACAGGTTCTCAGAAAAAGACTGTCAGCACAGAGAGAGCACGTAGGAAAGAAGCTGTAAAGTTGACAAACTATAAATACTGTAATTCTTTGCAGCTGTACCTGCACTTCTAACTAAATTTGATAGCAATGAATAAGGAGAGCTAAAATCCTACATGAAGGCAATAGAAATACAAAAGCCATTTCCCATAAAGTTTTGTAACAGAATGATATGGTGGTTTGTATTGCTCCAAGATGAAGCTTTATCTCTCATTCTGTTTCCAAAGCTTAATTTAACATTGTTACCCTGATCAAAGACTTTCAGAAATGCTAAGCACACAAAGGCAACACCAGTCCAAACAACCAAATGATCTGGACTGCCAACCTTTTACACAGTCCCTCTCCTAACACTAATATTTGTACACAAATAAGCTTCATCAAGATTATCCCAGGCAATAATAGAGCACCGAACCTAAAAACACAAATCTTTGTTTTGCCCAGCAACACAAGGTAGGCAGTGAAAACCCAGCAGGGTATCACCTTTGCATGAAACTGTCAATAAAGAGCATCTCCCAAAAATATGAACTTAGTTTCAATGTTCAGGAGCAGTTAGTCTTGACTTCTGCAGTTATTAGCCCTAAAGGATGAGAGTGATAAAAAAGCAGAGAATAGTAGCTACTAAGACATTCCTCAATATTATCTTATTAACTACTTTTATTATCTATTATGGTGTTTTGCTAAATTGGCAGCCTTTTATTTGCCTCTGTTTTTATAATACTATTTCTATAACTAGCTATCAGAGTTTTGTTTTATTTTATAGTTGTTTTAATTCCAGTTAGGTGTTGTAATTACTGAGAATTGTTGTAATTGTTTTCTTCAAAAGAGCATAATAAAATTGACACAATAAATATAATTAAAATTATAATAAAAATCAGAAGGGCATTCTGATACATCTTTTGTCCTAGGCTCATGTTTAATGCACAAGTGTATATGCATGTGTATTTTAAAATGCCCTGACATTATCAGCAACTTTAAAAGAACCTGCAAGATAAATTTCATCAGGTCCTTACAGAGCATTACATTAATGGAACTGTAGGGACTTTAGCCTATGCTGTTCTATGCTACTCTTACTAAGGGTTTCAGTAATGCACATTATCCCTTGCTTTGACTGAATGTTCTAATGCTCAACTAAAAGCATAAAAGAAAGGCTGTGTTTCTTGTTGAGATATATGAGCTGCATGGATGGATAGAAAATTAGCAAAGGCTGAAAAATTCATTTTTTAAATAAAATCCATACTTCAGTTCATCTCAGAAATAAAATGTATACCATTAATCCATGTCCAGGCTCTCTTATATTACTTTAGGGGCCAATTTGATGTGGTAATTAAGGCACCAAGATAGAAATAGGGATACCATAGAGATACCGTGAGTTCTAGTCTCATCTAAGGCACAAAGCTAGCTTGGGCCAGTCTCTCTCTCTCAGCCCTAGAAAGCAGAAGGAAATGGCAAACAACTTCTGAAATCTTGCCAAGAAAACTGCAGGGACTTGTCCAAGCAGCCACCAGCAGTCAAGACTGATTTGAAAGCACAAAAATAAATATTACTTCACCCTTAAAAGGATTTATAGCAGTATTTGTGTTTCAATGTTTTTAAAGCTTCATACAGAATGATAACCAAACACAGCTATAAACCACCAACCTTCCTTTACAGCAAGCACATACAAATTTAACATAAAGCAATATATTTATACTCACTCTGCAATACTGTTAACAGTCCCCATTGCAAGAAACACAATGAAGGATCTTCAGTCAGCTAGGTCAAATGCAACTGGGTCAACGGGAATATTTGAACAAAAGCCCTTATAAAGCACAAGTCTTTAAAGATTACGGCTCCTTAAGGTACGTGCAAAAAGATAAGGTGCATTCCTTAAGAAGGATGCCTATTTCACAATCACAGTGTAAGAGTGGTCAAGCTACTGTCTAATCCAGTTTCACTATCTGAGCTGATGTAGAACTGTTGTGCTACATGTCTAAAGTCACAGTCAGGGCAAAAACATCCAGGAGACAACTGCAGTTAGGACATACTGCACGTTATTGCAACATAAGCCATCTGAATTGTTATGTGATCAGTCAGCAAAGTTATCAGCTACCTGATGTCATTTCCAGAGTGCATGCTATATTGAAGGAAAAAATAACAACACTCGGGAAACCTCTTAAAGACTAATCAACTTTAGCCAAACTTTCATTGCACAGAGTCCACTTGCGAGATTTCAGGAAGTGACTATTGTGTTGTAAAGATTCTTAAAATCTCTTAACACACTGTATTGATGAGAGGACTGACACGTAACATGTAAAATGTAACACATGTTAAGAGAGATGACATCTATTACTAAAGAACAGTTTTGAACAATTCTTAGAGGACAAATGAAATATGAAACACACATCAATGGAAATGCTGGAGAGCATTACAGAAAATTGTAATAGACTGAACATTCTCAAGAGGGAGAAATCATCACTTTTTTTCAAGGATAAATGACTATTGTTCAAGTTCATTTGAGATGACTTCATCAACAGAAGCATGCATTTTGAGAGATGGCCACTGAGTTTCTGAAAACACGGGGGGGGGGGGAGAGAAAGAGAGAGAGAGAGAGAGAGAGAGAGAGGGAGGGAGACTTTTGAAAGGACACAAGAAGCATTTCACAAAGACCTTGAATATACCTTTCGCGAGGGACAGCAAACCAGTATTCCGGTTGCTTTCGTCTTTTATGATATTGTTGATCCATCACAGCTGGCTGGGAAATGAAAGTCTTCCTCATAGGTGTGCCCACTTTGATGCACAGAAACATTGGTGGGGTCTTACTTTTTTCCTCTTTTGAAGGAAGCATATCTGAAGTCAAGAGATTGTCCAATCACAAAGTAACCAACACAACAGATTGTTAATGTAACAAATACTTACATAGAAATACCAATAAATTTGATAATAAATCATCTCACCCAGTTCTCCGACATAACAATTGTTATGTTTGTTGCTAATCAATAAAATTGCAGAATTTCTAAAATAAAAAAAATCATAGAAAATATAAATGGATTCTTCTTTCTGCTCCATAGCTATGGGAGCAATATTGTTGAGAGTATGTGAGAAGCCTATCTCAATGGCTACTTCTTAAGTCTTAGTTCCCTGTTATTGAGTTCCATCTCTGGTCTTTCATTATCAATTTTTTTATATATTTAAATAAAAGTTATGCCAGTTAGATTGTTAAGCTTTAATCTGCTGCATGCTATTCTTTCTTTCTTACTGATCATGTTTTACTTAACACATTTTAAAGCCTGAGTTTTCTGAGAGAGAAAATCAAAGTGCAAGTGCTCAAGCACTCACTCTGTTTTCCAGATAACTACACCATTTAATTAAACCTTTTCCTTGAAATTCAAGCTTTTACAAATAGTATACAAATATTACATCTCTTACGCCTGCTGAGAGAGAGAGAGAGAGAGAGAGAGAGAGAGAGAGAGAGAGAGAGAGAGAGAGAGAGAGAGAGAGAGAGAGAGAGAGATTCCCAGCAAGATCATATGTTTTGCAGCAAGACCTTAAAAAAAGTTATTGTCATGACAATCCTAGAAATTACAGCACTAAGAACTCATCATGGTACAATATTTATAGCAAATGTATGATCAACCTATGTGGAATAACAGAATCAGTCTCTGAAGAAACATTTAGAAGCCTGAGCGACTGAAAGGTTATCTTTACTTTTGAGTGTTTGGTTAGCCTTAAGGACAGAGAGGATTAGAGCCTAACATAAGAAAAACACGATTGTGCAATACAATGGAAGAAGCTGTTTGAATGCTACGCAAATTTTGTGTTGAATCATCCCCAGGCCCAATTTTAATTAATGACGCAGCATAAGATTTATATGTACATAATGGATATCAGGCTGAATCAAAAATTATCCATGTTATAAGGAAGGTGAAAACAGGAATTTAGATTTTTTTAAAAAAAAAAACAAATTCAGCAAACAGGCTTACCTTCAATGGGCACTTGGACTCTCTGCAACAGCCACAGTCTGATTTCAGAATTTTTATCTAGATGAGATGTCAAAAAAGGGGTATCTAATCCTTCACATGTTTTTTTCTCTGCTGCTACTGAGCCAGTTTCCAACAAAGGCTCATTTCTTACAACTGAGCAGGATTCAAGTCCTTCCTTTTTGACAGCAAGAACTTCAGTGGTTTGGGATTTTGAACAGCTAAGTGTGAGATCTATGCCCACAGGCATATTTTTCTTTTCTTCCTTGACTTCATCCTTAGGCAAGTAATCAATAGGCGATAGTTCGTCTTTATCATGACTGAGATAAAATTCAATAAGCTTGTCTTTATTCAACTCTTTGTTTGCATCCAAGTTCATCTCTATCTTATTGGTTGGTGAACTTCCACCCTTGTTTATTTCAGGCATCGCGTCCAGCTTTTCACAGGTGTCTAGATCTAGATCGTCCTTAGAGACTTTACGCTTTACCCCAGATGAATCTAACACTGGTTGCTCATAGTTGTCTTTGTTACTTGCTTGCAACTGAACCTCCTTTTTTATTTTGCAATGATCTGTGTGAAGATCAACTGATCCAGCATCTCTGCAATCTATTTTACTATCAATCTGCAATGAGGTCTTGTCTACCTCAATAAAGCCATCTTCCTCCAGAAGGGAATTGTCTTTGGTTAAGTCCAAAGTTATATTTGATACAGAACATTCTGCACTATAAGTTTTCAAAGTCACCTGTTCTAAAGAGTCAGGAGTAGCAGAGTCCTTTGGTGTTTCTACTGATTCGGATGTGACTAGGGAAGGACTTCCAGAAGACTTCAGGACTTTGAAATCTGAAGACTTCTCTTTGTCTGAGTAGTTTATTGGTCTGGAATTAGGAGCAACAGAACTGTCTATTTTCTGTTGCTTCTTTTCTTTGTTCATGGATTTAAATTTACTGAAAGGATTGATGTCCTTCTCAGAGGCAAGATCTTCCCATTCACCGGGCCTGTACAGAGGACAAAGATCCTTTGGAATATCGCTGCCAGGATAGATGGTTGGGTGTATATGGAGTATTAAAAAATGGAGAACAAAATAAAAACAAATGAGAACACTTAAATAAACTTAAATATTTAAAATAGTTAAATAAAATACTTAAAATAATTAAATAAAATTCAAATATGACAACAAAGGAGACATCAACTGAAACGTACCAAAATAACTCATGGAAATAACATGGTTTAACCCAATGACTTCCTTCAAAATTAAATGAAAGCCAATTAAAATAAAGTAATTATAAAGTTGAAATAACTGTGGAAGTAGGGATATCAATTTATCCTGAAGCAGCTTATAGATACTTTAAAAGAAGCAAGAACAAAAAAGAACCTTGAGGAACAAGGGAAGCAAACAAACTTCATCTCATCGTGGGAATTTTTTGTTTCACAACACTGGAAAAAAATTGGCAGTAGGCATAAATAATTCCACTTTTTAAGATTATAATAAAAATATTTAATTTTAAATATAGATTTATATAGCAGCCCAACTGATATGTGACGCAATCATGAAATCTGAACTGTAACAACCACTACAACAAGCACATATAAATACATTTTTATTCAAATGTCTGGAATTTTAAAGCAGGTTAACTGTCCAATTTTACTAGAATCAAATAATCAAAGCCACCTAAAAATAATAATTAAAAAAATCTTCAAGTCAGAGGAAAATCCCAATTGCTTCCTCAATACCCATGCTTCTTAATAAATGTTCTAAAAAGTATGATCATTTGTCTCTAGTAGAAATGATTATTTGATTATAGCTCTTTCTTGATGTCCTTTCAACATCTCCAATTCTAGAAGTTAACTTCTGCAAAGTAAAGTAAAAAAAATCTAAGGCAGCTGATGTCTCTGTTGTTTTTTGTTATCTTATGCTAAAATGTTAGCGTTGAAGCAATTAATGAAGACATGTTGGTGCTTCTATTTAAGAAATCAGATGCCAAAAAGTTAATTAAAATAACCATTAATGAGAAAAGTAAGGGAATAATAACTAAAATCACTTTTTATATAATTTTCACATGTTAGAACTACCTAAAGAGGACAGATAGGAAGACCCATTCAAACAATATGAAGGCTCTGGGTGTGTTGTGGGTTTTTTTTCCTCAGAAATCCAAAATAACTTTTTCCTAGCCCTGCAAATCATAAAGTTATGCTGGATGCCCCCTCCTTTTTTTTTTTAATCAGTGTATTTCCACTGAAGTTATTCCCATCCACAGGAAGTGATTTCAAGATCTGCTTTCTGATAGGAAGATCCATCATACATCTCCTTACAGCCTTTGGCCAAGAACGTTCAGTTTAATTAATGGCAAGGGCAAGATACAATAACATGCAGAAATTAGCTCAGTAAATCTATACTCTCCCCCGGTTCTCTGGAACATCTTTGTCATTTCTTGGTTTCCTGCCATTTGGCAGCTTTTATTCTGTTCAGAATTCTTAACTGCTCAGTTTTCATGACCTTTTTGGGAAGTTATAAAATTCTAACACAGAATATTTTACCTACTGGTTTTACACAGGTCAAGCACCTTATAAAACAACTTTTCATGTTAACAATTGCACCACTGGCAAAACATAACCCATGTATTAGTGAACAACAATATCAAATAAAGCCACTTTGGTCAAGTGGTGAAGGTACTGGCCTAGAAATCGGTAGACTGAGAGTTCTAGTTCCACTTTAGGCATGAAAGCCAGCTGGTCACTTTGAGCCAGACACCTTCTCTCAGCCCATGGTTCCCCATGTGGGGAAAGAGTGGAAGAGGAAGGAGTACTATTTATGTTTGCTGTTTTGAGTTACTTATAAAGTAATGAAGCCGGGATTTAAAAAATTATGCCGTTCACAAAGCATAAAAATTCATTTTTTTAAAACATTCTCTGCTAAAAATAGTATTGGGGCCTAAGTTTGCATTGTCATTCTACATCCCTTTCTTGTCAGGTGGTGTTTTGTTCCACAATTTTAACAATGTTCTCTTTTTCCTTGCCAGTTGGCTGAATATTACATCCACCTGATAATGGTCAAACACAATCAACAGAGAAAGCACTTCTTACGATGGAAGGGCATCTTTTATCTTCATGTGAGAGATATCGTTGTAGAGGGCAATCGAAACTACCTCCTCCATGGGACATTTGAGCCCATACTCTTCACAGCCGTTCTCAATGACAACAGGGTCTGACTTGTGAGGATCAAACATGATGGTGTTGGGAGTGACTAACATAACCCCTCCGACTACTCCCTTGAAAAACAAAACAAAAATAAGTAGACAGTTAGTACTTACACTCATCGCATCACAACTGTCACAACATGATGACACAATGTACCCTCTGTGTTTTTTACACTCCCTTTCTTCTCTAATGTAGTCTTGTTTTCTTCCCAAGTGCTCAGTTTGGAGGAAAGGGGGGGGGGAATCTCAGCTAAAACTGAGCCAAGATTAAAAGATTTTCAAAACACATATATCTTCAGCAGACAAGGCCACCGTTATAAAAAGAGATCGAAGTATTTAACTTTCATCCTTGGTTGCAGTGAAAGAGGAGCTACAGCTTGTTAATCAACGAGAATCAAAAGGAAGATTCACAAGACAGTCCAATACATTTTCTGATTTTGGCTGCAAGCCCTAGCTTTAATTGATTTTAGTTCTCAGATGTAGAATTCCCGGTAGGAATTTTGAATGGTTCTAAGATAGAGAAGCAATTTAAATGGCTCTATTATAGATTTTAAGTACACATTACATATATTCTAGGGGAGAAAAAAATCACAAGAAACACGGATTAGGCAAAGACAATGTGATTAGAGAACATTATGAGAATATAGATGGAACAGATTAGGAGAGAACTGAACACTCTCTTCTCTTCAGATCACTTTTCAAATCACTTTTCTTTTGCTTACATGTACACAAAAATTAAGATAACAAGAGTGGCAAATACTTTTAAGGTCTTAATCATCCCAACAAAAGTATCTGAAGGTTCTTTTTCCAAAACAATTTCAGCCTATCTTTTCTTTGTCTTAGAAATCTTAATCACCCCAATGAAAGTATTTGAAGGATCCTTTTCCAAAACAATTTCAGCCTAGCCTTTCTTTCTCAGCAATTTTATCAAGGAAGCTCAGTATAGTCACAGTAGACTAGGAGTACAAATTTTCTGTAAAAATTAGAATCATTGATCTCAATTAAAATGTTTTATATCTGTAATGCAAAGACTCCAAACAATTAATAAAAATCCATTAAAAGAGCAAACTTAGCTCCTGATTTCCAAAGTGCTGCAAGAGGTGGTAAAGGTGATTGTGTTATCACAAGAGGAAAGACCGAGAAAATATTTTTGAAGCAGTATTAAGAGTATTATTAATTTTAATTGAGAAAGACAAACGTGCTCAAAAGAAGTCAGTCTGTGCTTCATTGATTATAGAAGGACCTTCCACTGCATTAATCATATCAAGCTGTGGAATCTGCTTAGAAAAATGAGAATCCCAGAACATTTCATTGCCCTTGGCAAAACCTACACATAGGTCAGGAAACCAAAGTATGGTCACAACATGGTGAAACAGATTGACCGCAGTTTGGCAAAGGAGTGAGACAAGCCTGCATATTCTCCCTTTATTTATTCACACTACATGCTGAATATACAAAGAGGGAAGCTGGATTGGAAGAAGATGAGCATAGCTTTAAAACTAAAGGAAAAAAAAACATCAGTAACCTGTGTTATGCAAATGACACTACTCTGATAGCTGAAAATGAAAGTTCTAGTCAAGAAGCAGAGTGAGAAAATAAGATTAAGATTAAATATAAACAAGATCAAACTAGCCTCAGAAATGACAATTAAGACACTAACGAGATGGATAGTTTCTGCTTTTTTAGGATAAAGTATCAACCCTAAAGGAACTAACATTAAGAAACACATTACAGGCTAGCACTTGGTAGAGTAACCACGAAGGCCTTGGAAAAGATATTCAGATACAAAGATCAGGGTCAAGCAGGCAATGGTTTTACCCGAACAAACTATGGAAGTGAAAGTGGGACTTTCAAGAAACAGTATAGAAAGAGTAATTTTCAAACATGATATTGGAGAACAGCCTGACACAGCCAAGAAAACAAATAAATGGAACACTGAACAAATCAATCCAGAATTCTCATTCGAGGCACAAATAATCTGACTAAATCCTACTTCAACACATTAGATGAAGACCCACCTCTCTGAAGAAGGCTCTAATGATGGAAAAGATAAAAAGAAAGAGAAGAAGAACGTGTCTAGAGCAAGATGGATGAATTCAAGTACAGTGTTGATGGGTGTACCACTGAAAGACCTAAAGAACTAGGGATCAAATCACCATAGAGAAAATCTAGCTACATAGTAACTAAAGGTTGACACCAATTTGATAGCACTTAAGCAGAGTGGCCTTTTACTGATATTCTCACCTGTAAAACTCACTCCAAATTGCTCTAAAATTGACATTTAAGAACAAATGAGCTAGGCTGGAGCTCGGGGTAAAATGAGAATGATGGAAGGTTGCCTTCCAGAGACATCTCTTCTGCCCATACAATTTATTCAAGAATGCCATCTGATAGGAACTTAGAAACAGGCATTTTTGTTTCTTAACCCCACATCTTGGAACATTCTTCCCACCTGGTTAAGCCTTTTCTTTTCCATCTCAATCAAGAGGTTTAAGGTTATAGTATGAATTCTGCAACCCAATCTACCATACCCGAAATGAACTATTTCTTGCTGATAAAATAAGAAACAAATGGGTGGGGCTTCTAAAATTATTTCAACGAACAATTTTAAAGGTGCAGTCAAAACAAGATTATCAGTTAGTGGCCTTTATGTTAGGGACCTACAGCATAGCCTCACTTGGATTACTGCCATGATAGTCTTTTGAATCTTTTTGCAAGATAGGTACATTATTAAGATGCCTCTTTATCCCATTAAAGATCTGCTCCTTTTTACTATTTGGTGAACCTATTTCCAGATTAATATATCATTTGGTGTTCTACTTTATAATTGGTATTTCACACAGGAAGCAAATCTGTTGGAAATTATCCAACTTCTCTACCTTGCCATCTGTGAAGTAACGACAATTCATTTTTAAAAACTTATACACCGGTTCATCTTCCTCTGAGGTGGACGACGTAACTCTCTGAAGAGGTCTACAAGCCCTTCTTGCTAAATCAGCATCCTTCAAAAATAAAATTAGACAAAGCAATGGCTTAGATCTTAAGTTAGGAGTTCATTCATGCAAGGGAATGCGATCCTTACTAATCCATCCCTTTGCAAAAATCATGAATATTCACCATATATTTGATATCATCTCAAAGGCCTGAGGAAATGTTTGAGGCATAGACAGTTTCCAGGATTAAGGGGGCTGTAAGGAAGCCCCACTCCCTGAACAGAAGCTGTGATCTCCATGAAAGGAAAAATAGGTTTCCAAACCAATATCCATAACAGTTATTATTGTTATATTATGTATGCTTTCTATAAAAACCGTCCTACAATAACACAAAACTCATGTTTGTTGTATAGCTCAGGGGTCCCCAACCTGTGGGCTGCAGCCTGGTAGAGGGCCGTGGCCTACTGGCTACCGGGCCGTGGGACAGACTGGCCAGTGTGCGCACGTGTGCACATACACACCATTTGCTCTAGTGCAGTGGTTCTCAATCTTTTTAATGCCGCAACCCCCAACCGGTCGTAAGTCGAGGACTACTCAACTGGCCATAAGTCAAGGACTACTCAACTGGTGCAGCACCATTTGCAGAATGGGACTTTTGGCGGGCTTAGCAGGGCAGAGACAGCCTGGACAATTCCTATTGGCTTTTGAAAGCCAATAGAATTAGACTCTATTCAAGAGAGTCTATTCTATTGGCTTTCAAAAGCCAACAGAATAAAAGGGAGTGGCACAGCTAAGGAAAAGGGGGGGGGAATGGCGGACTGCATTGTTTGGCGACCCCCGTGAAATGGTCATTCGACCCCAAATGGGGTCCCGACCCACAGGTTGAGAACCACTGCTCTAGTGCCACAGTGTGCAAAACCAGGGCGCTGCACCATGGGGCGCGAAAACGGGCTGCTGTGCTCCAGGGTGCAAAAACAGGATGCTGCCACACCTCATGGTGTGAAAATCAGCCACCGCCACGCCTCGTGGCATGAAAACGGGTCACAGCTGCACCTCAGGGCATGAAAATGGGATGCCGCACCTCGGGGTGCAAAAATGGGTGCCACCACAACGCAGGGCACAGTAACGGGGCGCTGTGCCACGCAAGAACAGGGCAAGGTTAGTGAGTATCACACGCGCATATAAAATGCTTCCTCTCCCTTTCCCTTCGGTCTGCCAACCAAGAAAGGTTGATGACTTCTGGTATAGATTGAAATGCATTAGTCATTTCCAGAAATAGACCACCAACAAGATATCTATAAGCCTGTTTTTATATCAACTTTGCCTTTAAAGAAGGACACTATTGCTGTTTTGTTTTTTCCTTCTTCTATTATTGGATAATGTTGGAAGGTTAAGGCCACAGAGGAACTGCCCCTTATAAAAAATTTAAGCATTGCCATTCTTGGGAACTGGCACAATCCTGGATAGTTTTCAAAGGCAGCTTATATGCTTAATCAGTTTTAGTAAATCTCTTAAACCCCTTGAAGTCTTTCTGGAGAAACATCTAATCATGCTAACATATATATTATAGCATAAGCTTTCACAGAGTTTACTTTCAGAAAAACTTGTATCATTCATATGCACACATGTACACACACATGACAAAAACTATACAAGTTTTACTGCAACATATTCTGACTCTAAATGTTAACCTTAATTCAAACCTTATGCAAATCTTACCGGAAGCTTATCATATTCTGCATCTGATGAAGAAGGTGAAATAGGAGCACCAGAACTTGAGAAAGTTGCCTTTGAAGTACCTGGCACATATAGTACCTAGTTAAAAAAAAAAAAAAGTGGAACACTAACATGTTAAACATTATGACCACTATTAAGATTAAATATGAATAGAAGAGAGTTATTTTAAAATACAATGTATCAACAATTACTGGTTACTGGTTTTCATTCTTCTCTTCAGCCACCATATTAACCAACTGTCCTCCAGGTACATTAGACTTCAATATAACTAACATGGGATTATGGGAATTGTTATCCAACTCATTCACAGAAAAAAGGAATAGAGAAGGTTGCAACAGACATGTTTCGTTTCTAATACCATTACATGCAATTAATTTGACTTCCATAATTAATCCAAGTACAAGTATTTAAAACAACAGAAAAGAAATAAAATGCACACTAAAATTATCTAGAAGCAAGCTCTGTTGATTTCCAGGGTTCCTCACTAAAGCTTGAATACGCTATATCATAAGGAGCACTATAAGCCACCCAGAGTCACTCTGGATAGCAAGAACAGTAGCATATTAATTTAATAAATAAATAATTTAAAAAGGAACAACTAGAGCAGACATATGAAACAATCAACAACATTTTCAAAGGAATAAATTTCACAAGGCAAGCTGAGAACAACAACAACACCCTTCCTGGATATCCTCATCAGCAGAGAAAATAAAGGTAACATAAAGGTGAATGAGAAGCACAAATTATTGAAAATAACCCATACCTAACCAAGTGCTCCATTACCAAAGTAATAACGTAACCCAGTGGTGGCGAACCTGTGGCACTGGTGCCAGAGGCGGCACTTGGAGCCTTCTCTGTGGGCACATGTGCCGTTGCCCCAGCCTTGCCTCCCCCCGCGACCCCCTCCTCACCAGCAGCCGTCCTGAAGGAGAGTCGCCCCCAAGCCTGGCCCACACGGAGCAGTGCAGCGAAGGACATGGCAGTCAGGCAGCGTAGATGCCCCATAACACACAGCTGATGCTGCAGGGCGCGGAGAGAGGGCATGGCCACCATGGTGCTGCTGGGCTGCCTGGGCAATCTGCAGCAGGCCCTGGAGGCGGTGAGTGGCCCTGCGGGCAGGCAGGGTAGGGGCGGGGCAGGGGGTGGAGCGGGGACGGGGCCAGTTTTTGGGCACCCAGTCTCTAAAAAGTTCTCCATCACTGACCTAACCTACCACAAGCAAAAAAATTGGAAAATCAGACAGGGTCATCTGATGACCTGCGTAATAACCAAATGAATTACAGCCATAATTCCACTTTTAAGTCAAGATCTACCTTTACTGTATTCTGCAAAATCACATTTTTTATCCTTTACATATGATAGAAGATGGCCTTGGGATATGATATGCCAAAAGAATTTAATCTCAATTTTAAAATACCCACACAAAATATTCAAAAGCCTATAGTTTTCAGTAGCATGAACGTGATAAAATTTCCTTCAGTTTAAATCACAAAGAACTGAAACCTGGAAATGAGATTTCTGGATCTAATTAGTTTCATGATGAGAAACAATGCTTGTTAAATTGTGTTCCAGTGAACTATGAAATTACTTAAAAAGCGTTACAGGAGCTGTCAGAGAAAATGAGTGCCACAGGGACATTCTTTCTCTACTATTATTCCTACTATTCCAAGTTATCGGAAAAATTTGGCTACATCATATAGAATGCCTTCAAACCATGTGGAGTTACAGGAAGCCTTAAGGGAAGAATACTATCTAGCAAACATACTAAAATGTTTTAGACCTCATCACTTTCCCAGGGTAAAAAATTATGTTCAGTTGAGATAATTCGTTTAATATTCCAACGTGATCTCTCAGCATATATGTTGAATGACCTTCGAATGATCTGATACTTCCTTTTTTTATGGAAACAATCAAAATTTCTGCTTGCAAACACAATTTCTATTCTGAAATTGCCCTGTCCCATTTGCTATGTTAGCAAAAAGAAAATCTATGAAAGAGGCCAAAAATAGATGCGGAATACCTTTCCTTGCTTTCCTCACCCTCCATAAATCCAACTGGTTCAGAATAATCTAAATATAAAACCTTTGCTAGGTTAGAAAGCAAGATTGTTACTTCTGTTACAAGGTTACAAGATGTAGGGAACAGACAAAATAATGAACTAAAACAAATGTAGTAAGGTGTTTATTCACAGTAAGGGTTTTTCTTTAAAAAAAAAAAACCCTAAATGCTCACACATGCATTACTCCGATGATTAGAAACAGCATGCATGAAACCAGGGTGTAGCTTAACCAACATTCATAAAATAATGGGAAGCAATAGGATTCTGATTTTCTGAGTCATCTAAAAGCTAGCAGGAATAAACTAGGACACGGGTGTCGAACTTTTTTTGCATTGCCAGAGCTGGGATGGGCGCGACCTCCGCATGATACAACCAGCCCATGGTCTGGTAGTTTGACACCCCTGAGCTAGGGTGTATGTATTCAACTTGTGTGTTTTAAAATTACATACTAATACAGGCAGAGGCTGGAAGTACCAATGTTTATCAGAAAAGAACTAGCTATAGGTACTTACCTGTAGCTTAAATTCTTCAACTGATCATCTGTGAATTCACAGATGGGTTGTAAGACTTTAGCCCACTCTGAATCTTACAGAGCTTAAAGAATGCTTTGTTGGGACTCCTCCCTTACACATAGTATTAGATGTGGCTCCCCTTAGTTCCCAAGTCAGACCTTGAGAAGTTTATGGAGCCCCTCAGCACTGACTGGGGTACTTCTTTCATAAGATGTTGGTTATTTACCAAATGATTTACCCTGTGCCAATTGTAAAAAACTTGGGAGTCCCCAGAAAATTATAAACAACTCATATGTGGTTGAGATGGGCATGAGAAGTCGTCTATCTCCAAACAGCAGACCAGAAATAGGAGGAATACTTGTGTTGACCCTTTTTGTAAACACACAAGGTGTTTAGGCTTGGCTTCTCCCCAGGTAGAATAGGCAAAAGGTTGTTTCCATGCATGGGGAGATATTTGCTATTGCAAAAACAGCACTTTTAGAATTGGGCCTCGAAGACCAAAAGGTGCATGAACTGGAGGAAAGAGAAGCATCCTGCATCTGAAAATCCCTCATATGCAAAAAGTAAAGCAGGCAAGAAGGAAGACTTGATAAACTGCCAAATAAGCATCACTGGATTGGTCAGAAACAAACAGGATTCATGTTTAATCATATATGCTATTCACAGGGAGGATCCTGCTAAGAAATTTCTTAAGCATTACAAAATTCAGGACAAATTCAGAGAATAATATATAATATAAATCACAGACCAAAATAACAAATCAGAGTTACTGTAGAGGTAAACTGGAAGGTCTTGCGCTCTACCAGCCATATAGCTAAGCTTATCATTTCTATAATCAAAAGTTATTTGAAAAACATTAGCACAAATAAAATCTTGTCACAATTACCTGGCCTGGAACAATTGTGTGTGTGAAAAGCTTATTGAGTTCCACAAGTTTATTTGGAGTGATGTTAAACGTCAGGGCTATGCTGTTTAAGGTGTCTTGGCTTCCAGCCTGAGACAGAGGGAAGATAGAAAGTTTAAATTTCAAAATATATTTTAACCAATCATGCTTCTTTAAAACAAATATCTGGTCTACATTCAGAGATTGCTATAAAAATATTTTGGAATATAGAAAAAGAACTTATTATTTCAGTTGTTGAGTCCACAAAATAATGTCATCAGAAATTTCAAACCCATAGCACAGTGACTGTTTATCTGTGTAGTCACCACTGGATGACTTTTGCTTCCTTCTATCTTTGTCTCAACTATACTGTATGAAGAAGCAATCATTTTGCAGCAGTCAACATGAGATTTATTCCTTTTGCCCCACTTTCAACCACGAGAATATTTTTCCACAACTACCCAGGAGCATGTTGGTCAAACCATAAAAACTTCGTCACATTAGGGAAATCTTCACTGAGGATGGGGTTTTTTGTGAGTAAATATGTGTGTGCACATGTATAGCCAAAAACATCTTCTGAATTATATTTTATGGACAAAAACAATAAATTTATATTCTAAATCTTAATCACTGAGATACTATGTGATTCTTATTATCTTTTGATGCAACAGACCAATAGGTCAATCCTTCTAGAAAAAGGTTTTAAAAAACATGGGTGAAGCAACAGAACTCATGGTTTCTAATTCAAAGCAAATTTGATTCCATCCATTTTCTACTGATTTATATATGCAGGCATCATAGAGTAAGTAGATTATTCACTGTTGTTTTTTCAGCTAAACCCTTTCCAATCCAGCAATCCTGAAATCCCATAGATAATATTCTCTAGTTTTATATTTGTCCTTTCAAAACAGTCAAGAATAGGTATTCCAACACATAAAGATATCTAATTTTGGCAGACAACAAAACAACAGTCTTAGTACATCAACATTATGCCAAAGATCAGATGGCAGTTAAGACACACCAAATTCCAGAATTATTTATGGAAAATATAGCTTCTCTCCAAAACAGCCATCACATGTGATAGCTACAGGACCTCATTTGTACATTCAAGATTTTCCATACACAAAGATTCACCAATTACTAGACTCCTGTGTCCCCAGGACTTTATGGGGTTAATAGAAATCTCTGCAAGCTGAATAACTTCCTGTTTTGCAGCGTTTCCTCTCCAGATATAGAACAGGTAGTTTCTCACTGCCAGGAAACCCCCCTCCCATTCTTGCTCCTAATACTTCCCCCCCCCCCAAGCACCTACATAAGATGTCCTACATAGCTTCTTATATATGTTAACAAATACTCCACACATAGAAAATCTATATTTTATATATAATTTGGCTTTCATTTGCACTACTTGCAGCGAAACATAAGTAACCTATGACAAAAACAGCTATTATTCAACTATTTGTGAAATCAACCTAACACTTCAAAAACAAACAGGAAGAGAATGGTTCTTAATTTCTTACTTCGCAAAATAATTTCGCTAATTTTTCAGCATATGTATCTGGAGGAAGTCCAATGCTACTCAGCTCTGTTTCTAATTAACTGACATAAAATATTGTTACATGAAAAAAACATGTTAAGTGTCCTGTGAAAAATTGTTTCCTACAGCTGTTATTTGGCCCGGAAAATACCACTAAACAACCGGAAAGGCAAGCAGCAGTTAGCAAAGTGGATATGTCTAGTAGGAAAATGGTACAAATAGAAAAAAACTTAAAATGTTTACAGAAGCTACAATTCTGGTCTTCAAATGGATTTCATGCATTGTCAGGGAAAACCACACACAGAGAGACGCAGGTGCGCACACATGCATGCAAACACACATGCTCAGACACAGAGCACTCAAGAAATGACACATCATATGCTAAGTTGCTTTATTTTACATACTTCAGTTACAGTTAGAGAAAAAGATTTTCTCCCCTTATTAGCATAAAACTTTATAGTTAACATGAAATTATTATGTGAGCAATTTTGTGACATTTCAGGTATACAAATTAGTGAAGGAGTGGACATTTCCACAACTCCCACGTCTAAAAATTCCTAATCAAACCTTACCGTATATTCAATTGTACCCTGGGGTTTCTGAGAGACCATTTTTTTTTCTTTCTTCTCATTTGTTTTGGTTTGGTTATCATCTGAAAGAAAAACCAGAGCAACAATTACTAATGTTGTTCTACATTTTTGGATGATAATTTAGCACTACAGGACAACAGCAGCCTAACCATGAATTTAAACCAGAAACTGTAGTTTTAACACATTGAGAAAAGCCCTTTTAACATTTGCAAGTTAAACAAGGATTGGCTGCATATTGCTTTCCAGTTATGTCAGCATGGCTCATATAAACTTTCCTATCTTCAAGCATTTTTCTCTTGCCTTGGGCTATGACATTCAACCAGCCACTCCTCGGCAGACATTCTGATCTCTGCAAAACAGAAACACTCAAGCTGAAACTGATCCTCAACAATATTTAACTTTGAAAAAAAGAAATACATGCTACTTGCTCCTTTATGCTAGAATACATGCTTAAGCAATATACATGCTCAGTTACTTCTGTATTTGTTAAATTTATTTCATATAGGATAGAAAAGGCATAAATAAAATCACCCTAATAATGACAGCAGTAAGCAAATGGGGATAGTTGGAGACACTGATTACAGTATACTAAGCCAGACCCCAAACTACCGTTTATGCTGACTGACTTAGCTGTTGGTAAAAATGTTTTTTAACCCTATTCCTTAAAATTTAGTGAAGAAGCATGCAATCTTTCTAACCCAGTGGACAATGCTGCATTTTTTAAGCTGTTTTGATTAATGGTTGCATGGTATGTAGCCAATGATCCTTTGGAAAGAAGGTGAGTTTGGTGAACTGAAGAGACAGTAGGCTTTGCAGAACCTTTACATATCTCTATTTCTCCTTATTTTGACTTCCAAAAGTAGGGGAGGAAAAAGCATTGAACTTACAGCAATCTAACGGTCATAAAATTGGTTTGGGTGGAACCCATGCTACCTCTATGACCCATAGACTCACCTCTATTCTAAACTTATACAGACAAAGCCTGAAGCAACCATTCTACAAATATCTTATTTGAATTTGATTGGACTTGGGGGGGGTCCAGGCATGGCAGGCAATTTAAGGGAGGGAAAAGTTAAGAAATGGGGCTTTTGGCACGCAATTTCTCACTTCTGGCTATGCACTACTGTAATTCACTTGACTTTTAATAAACTATACAATACCTTTCTCATTAAATGAGGTTAAGGATTGTTGTTACTTAGAGGTTTTATCTGAGACAGATCTGATGTATATCCTGCATAGCAAAGCTTTTTCCTTTGAATACTTTAGTCAGGTTTCATATGATCTTTATCTAGCTATTCCTACCAAAACCAACACCAAAGGACATATCACAGTCCATCTTCTCTAGTTATCATAAACTGCAAACTGCAAGGCCAACATCAGCTAAAGAACTGGCAGCTGTGATTTCACATTGTTGTGAATAAACTGGAGTACTATCTAAAGAATTTCCTCAATATCTGGAAATATTGAATTTATTGGACATGAGCAACCTAATTCTACAAAAAAAAAAAGCCCACCCTACTGTGAACTGCCTATATTCTTAGACACTAACTTGATCATTCTTTGGTTATACCTGTTGAATTATTAAGTTTCCACCAGTTTTGGATTGTGAATCCAAGTATAGATTACCCACGCATCATCATAACAATGAATAGGTTAGGACAGGACAGGACAGGACAGGACAGAACAAGTTTGCTTTCAACTAGATTCTTGCCAAGTCTCTTACCAGATAATCCTGACCTGCATCAAAGCAAGCCAAATTCATGGAAAAATTAAAATAACCCATATAAACACAGAATTGCATTGTTCAGAAGATCAACTGACTCATTTTTTCCAAATCTGAGAAATTTAGGCGAGGGGAAGGAAGGTAAACCTATCCCTTCTCTATTTTCTTTGATTGAGGAAGCAGTAGAGGAAAGAGCTATACAATGCATGAAGGAATAACAATAAGTGTCATTCTCTACTTTCTCAGTTGCAATATGACTAATTCCCGGCTTAAAGCAAAGAAACAGCATAATTCTATGATTTTTGCTTCAGGCAATTCTTGCAGCAGAGTTTGTACTCATTTAGGAATTATCATGCATATTAATAGGCGATTCTCATATTATCTATATCTATAATGAAGGGATGGGCAATTAATTTTTCTAAGCGGCCGCAATGGAAACTGGAATGTTGTGGAGGCCTAATTCAATAGTTCCCGGCTACACTCCACCTGCAAGGCCACTCATACTGAGGCAGTGATCAGTGACTGAGCTCGGGTCCCCTTATGCGATGACCACCACTACCACCTCCTCAGGTGAGGGGGTGAGTAAAGCACTTTCTCTCTTCATCCTCACACAACCAGCAGTCCATTGAAGGATCACATGGGGATTGCACAGAGCTGGACCTGACTTGGCTGCTACTCCCGCCTTCTGGGGCAAACATATTTGATTTCTAATTTTGAACTGACTTCAGGCAGACCAGATAGGGACAGCTGAAGGGCCAAATGTGGCTTAGGGGCCGTAAAATGCCCAGGTCTGCTATAATGTAAAATAGGGTAATATTAAAATAGTTCTCTTCGGTTTTCAACCCACACCCAAATAAGCACACCAATAAGGTGTTTGAATGGCAATCATTAGGGAAGTCTGGGTAATAATGTTTCAGCTTAAAAAGAGATATAAAAGAGCTTTTGCCCAGTCTGGTTCCTTCCTTCCTGGCAAACAGACAGGAAGTCCTCAATTAATTATGGTTTCCCATTTGAATCAGGAAACAAGAATAACAGTCTAAGAACAAACAAAGATGTTTTGCTGTTCAGTTATCAGCATGAAGAGCCAACAACTTTCTCTGTAAATATAGAACTCTGAAGTTAGATATTGAACAGTTTTTTGTAATCTGAAAGCAGTTGAAAGTTTGGATGCTCTCCAATCACAAAAGCAACACTTCAATGTTTTTTATTTCATTAGAATTTGTTTGTTTGTTATTTCATTTGCATTCCACTTTTATTATTTTTATAAATAACTCAAGGCAGCAAATATATTTCATACTCCTTCCTCCTTCTACTTTCCCCACAACAACAACCCTATGAAGTGGGTTGGGCTGAGAGAGAATGACTGGTCCAAAGTCACCCAGCTGGCTTTCATGGCTAAGGCAGCTCTTGAACTCACGGTCTTCAGCTTTCTAGACCAGCACCTTAATCACCAGACCTAACTGACTCTTCTATCCCACCTTTATTATTATTTTATAAGTAAACTCAAGGGGGCAAACATATCCAACACACCTTCCTCCTTCTATTTCCCCCAAAACAACAACTCTGTGAGGTGGGTTGGACTGATAGAGAGTGAAGGGCGCAAGGATACCCAGCTAGCTTTCTGGGGGACCAATCATTGGGACTGGAGCTCAGTCTCCTGGTTTCCAAACTATTACTACACCAAACTTTATTTTATAGAAATACATTATAAAGAAATAAAGAAATGTTAGTGTCCAAAGAAGAAGAAAAAAACCTACAAATTTATCTATATACTATTATTCTGACAGGAATTATATGAGAAATGTGGTTTTGCTTTGAAAGTTCCTCTCTTCAAGCTTTGCCCATTATTGGACAGACCCGTATGCCCCAATACTGCAAAGCTCTACAACAGTGATGGCGAACCTTTTAGAGTCCCAGGCCCAAACTGCAACCCAAAACCCACTTATGCATTGTCGGGGGCCAAGTGGGTGTGGCCCATTGGGTGGGTGTGGTCCATTGGGTGGGCGTAGCTGTGGTGGTAACGGCAGACAGGGTGGGACTAAAAAGTTCAATCAATCAATTCCAACTTTGCAAGATCTTTTTTTTTCCCCACGAGAAGTTGAAATTGATTGAACCTTTTTTTTTTTTGCACACGGCGGCGGAGGCCTAAAGCGAAAAGGTTTTATAAAACCCGGCTGAAGGCCTAGTACTGGGGCGACAGCGTGCGTGCCCACAGAGAGGGCTCTGAGTGCCGCCTCTGGCACCCGTGCCATAGGTTCGCCACCATTGCTCTACAATATGCAGCACCAGGAGTAAACTGTTAAAGCTGAATTTAATTTATGCTTCATGTTTATCTTAGGATTGATTCTAATAGTCTGTAAGCCTGAATAGATCACCATCAGCTCTTTCAACAGATAGCATTGCTGGTTGAGGAATTCTGGGAGTTGAAGTCCACAAGTCATAAAAGGGCTAAGTTTGAAGACCCCTGTTCTAGATTACTAAATTGTACTAGATTACTAATTTGTAGAGGAGGAGGAGGAGGAGGAGACTGCCGAACACAAAAGGATTAGACAGAAGGCTACCAGAGATGAGAGAGGGCAGATGGTATGAGACCAAGAGCCAAGAATCCCTTTTCTCCTGGGATGTGTATCAGGCTTCTTGGAGGTAAATAAGAAAGGAATAGAAACAAGAAGTCTGCTACTTTGCTTAAAAGCTCTTCACCAGAGGGACAGAAGACCAAGGAAACATTGGTGCGAAGAGTTCAAAAATCACAGTACTGTAAGCTAGGGAGTAATTGTTTGCTGCATAGTATAAGGGATGAACCTAAGCTCTGGAGCTTAGGTTATATGTAACAATCTGGACATTTTAGATTAGTGAACAAACCATGATTAAAATGTGCACTTTCGTATAATGCATCAGCCATTCAAAATCTGTACAGCCAATTCCTTGTTATTGTATTTTAAAAGGCTCTCCAGTGTTAGATTAGGGGGGTATTTGTGTTTGTTCGACTCGTTCACTGCCTTCACACCTTGCACACAATCAAACCAATAAACAACAATCAAGATTAAGGATAAAATAAGCCAACCAATAATACAAATACCATGAATGAGCATCAAAACAATCACAACATTAGAGCAAATGAATCACAAAGCAAATGAAAAATAAATGGGGAAAACCACTGAAAGCAAAATTGGCATGGCTACTGTGGAGGAAAAGCTAAAGAATGAAAATATAACATATGCTGTACATATTCTGATTCTTCTTTAAGTGTGGAAAAGAAGAGGTCGTACAGACAGACTAGGGAGGAAATTCTAGCTCGCTGGCACTTCAGAATTACAGTATCAAAAGGCCCTAGTCCTAATCAATTCCAGACAGGTTTATTTTGGGCAGCAGAAAGAAAAGTTTGTTTTTTGCAGAGTGTAGCTCTTAAGGAACAACATATGGAAAAAGACATTATTTCAAGCACAAGGGACCTGAGCTACATAAGGCTTTATCAGTAATAACAAGCTCCTTGAATCTGAGGAGTTGGAATTAATAAAACGAATTCAACAATAGGCATGTATTAGATTTCTAACTCATTGATAAGAAATTTTGCAGATATGAAGTGGCAACTCCTATTTATGCAGATCATAATCCAGTAATTGTTAAGGTTGGGTAGAAGAACTACAGTACTAATTTAACATTATAATACTATTAATAATTTATTAATAGTTATTTCTTAACACTTTACAATTATAGTGCTGTTATAACTATTAAACTATAGGAATTAAAGAGCTTCTTCCAAATCAGCTTAATCTCTAATGCCTCCCTATCTACAAGTTTGGGAGGGTGGAAACAGTATTAATTATGTTTCTAACTGCTTCAAAGATCAGAAATCACTTATTTAAATATATTTTCTATCTTACTGTTTTCTAAATCTCTACCATCATTAACTTTTTCTTCTTTCTTTCTTATCTTATCTTTCTTTTTGTATTTTTTCACTTTTCTATATTTATTTTTCAGAAGCTTTTAACTCTGTAAAGAATTTTCAATACAATTATATATCTATCTATTTTTATATAAACATCTATCTTTATATATCTCTATCTCTCGCTATATATTCCCATATCTACAATATGGGTTGCTTTTCTAGCATTTGTGAAAGTTGTATTTATCTCACTTGCATCAAACAGAAATAAAGCCATACAAAAACAGAAGGATACATTACTGAATAATCTGAAGCAATTAGAATCAAGACATAAACTTAACTCAATTTCAGATTTAGAACAAAAGATAAAGCAATGTGGAAATCAACTACATTTACTGGATATAAACAGGAAGTTGAATTTTACCAAACATACTTTGAGAAAAGCAATAAATCACATAAATTGCCAGCATAAGGAACAGGATAAAATTATTTCTGTTTATGAGGGGATTTTGTTTCTGCAAAAAAAGAAAGGAAGCAGCAATGTGATAACTATTATTCTGGAAAACATCTATGATCTTTTTTGATATAAAGCAGCTTTTGACAGAATTTAGTGCCAGTGCAACTTAACCAGATCTTATGTGCAGCCATTGGAGAAGGCTGATTGTTACACTTTAGACATTCTACAGTTTTTGGAAAGGCTTTAAGGCCATATCCTTATAGCTCACATTACAATAATTCAATTGGGAAATTACAATACATGGGTAGCAATAGCCACATCAGCTCTCACCAAGAAAGGATGCAGAAATTATTCACAGATGAAAGCAACGTGCCTAGCTCCATATTGACCTAAAACACTCAGGGACAGAATTCCCTTTAGTGCAGACTTGAGAAGAATACACCTGTTTGAGATAGAAAATGCCTTTCAGGTATTACCAAACCCTTAGATTTGTCTAGATCAGGCATGTCAAACTCGTGACATCACATGACGTCACACGACATATCGTGACTTTTTCCCCATTGCCGGCAATGGGGTGGGCGTAGTTTCAGCGTTTGACGCATCCGGCCCATAGGCCGGCAGTTTGACATGCCTAGTCTAGATTCAATTTCTACTTATACAGTAATTACTCATCCAGTCCATGCAGAAGTCATTGCATCTGATAAGAAACCAACAATGGATAAAATTGAGATATTTATCAAGCAACAGCTAATCTAAGGTGCCACACAATATTACATATTTCTGTTCCAACAATAGACCTGTGCTGTTTTCATTGCAAAAGTAAACAGATTTTTAAAAAAGAAAGAAATATAAAAATAGAATTCACAAATTTACTATTTTTCTGTCAGTCACTCAGTTATGCAGAAATATCATCATCTGCATTATCATACTGAACATGTTTGCATCCCAGACACAACACCCTTTTGAAGGTTCAAGTGGTTGTGCTGCAGCATATATGATAAGCATATTAATTATGCTAGCAAAATGCTATATAATTCTAATAGCAAATTACATTGCCTTTTTTAAAAAAAACTTTTCCAAACTTCTCAGCTGTTTCTAATCGTCCTTGGGATGCTTGGCTATAAGATGGAGTCATCCATACAAAGTCTATTTTCCCTGCAGAAGTAAGCAAACTTATAAGGTAGTTGCATCTGGGGTGTACAAAACCAGGTGATCATGTAGTAGGATAGAGGGAGGGCGAGTGAGACCTTGCTACCACCTAGTGGTCATTAGGAAGACTGGAGGTTGGAGAAAAAAATAGAAAAAATATATTTGGCCATTACAAACCATCCTAGTTTATGGCAACTGGAGTGTCTTTTTCCACAGTTGGTGACATCTGAATTTTAGCCAGCTAAAATGCCCATCATTATTCTTACAAATAATAAAGAAAGAGTTCTTATAAAAAACGAAGTATGGCATATCCCTGTTTTGGAGCTGCATTAGGGTTATCCTGTGGGTCAGCTGAACTAATGCCAGGACAATTTCCTCCCATTTCTGGGATAGGGGAAAATCATGGCAAAGCAGTGGTTTGGATGAGCCCAAAGCTTTTGCATTAAACTCACCAATGCTGTAATATCGTTTAAGATCAGTACGCCTAATATCCTTTGGTTGACTGCTCTTTTTCTTTTTTTTCTCATAATCCTCCTTTTCTGCAGAATGCTTGTAGTTTTCTTGAGAACTGTTTGTCTGTCCTAAAATGTTTTTGCTCCCATCACCTTTTCCATCACCTTTTCCAGTCTGAGTTTTGCAGATGTGAGTCCCACAGGTGTTTGGAGGTGGCACATCTGCATTTTGTTTAGCAAGCTTCTTTTTTTTCAAACTAGAGGAGAAAAAAAGGAAGAGATACAAACACTTAGCATATAGGAAAGAACAATGGAATAAAGGTAACAGTTGAATAATGGCAATTTAATATTGTAAATTATCCACTATTATATACATAGTTCTTGCTGATGAATCTAACAGGTCCTCACAACCTCTTCTGCTATATGTTCTTCTTCCTTATATGTGATAGTATCAAAAAGCTATTTTTGATTCTACACTACCATATGGTTGTCATGACACAATCGCTCATTCCAGAAATGTAAAGTAGCAAGGATAAGAAAATTTGCATTCTAGTCCTGATAATATTTTATTGCAGCTGTATAATGGATTGGATGCACATTGGAACATGTATTTCAGAATGCATGGGGATACCTGTCTGTGGTTCATTAAAGCATCTGCATCTGCTGATGTATCAGGAACCTCCCCAAAGCAGCCCATACAAAACTGGAAAAAAGAGGCAGCTATTTTCATTAATTTTCAGCAGGAATGCACTCATTCCCTGACTTGTTCCAAAACACCTTTTCTGAAGCACTTAGTCACTCCAGCTCTGCGGTATTTTTGTTTGTTTCACGATCAATAATCAGAAATGCAAGCCTCATTCAAAGTACAGCTACTTATAAATCTGTGATCCCCTACCAGCACAAAGTGCTATAAGGGGTGGAAGTAGAGTTGTCCAGCAGTACTTTTATGCTATGGAACAGCCTTTTCTTAGAGATTAACTTGTCTCATCATAAATGATATTTTGGAAGATATAAAAGATAACACTCTTTCAGACAGTTCTTTTTAGTTTGGCCTTACTGTAAATTAGCTCTGGTTGTTTTTAGGACTGATTTTATTCTGAATTATATTTATTTTTATCCTCCCTTTATTATTATTTTATAAATAACTCAAGGGAATGACCATATCTTTCTTCCTCCTATTTTCCCCACAGCAACAACCATTTGAGGTAGGTTGAACTGAAAGAGCATGGCTGGCCCAAATGCTTGGGCCTTTCATGCCTAATACAGGATCAGAACTCCCAGTCTTCTGATTCCTAGCACCTTAATCACTATAGCACCTTAACTACTAGCACCTTAACCACTATACCAGGGGTAGGCAACCTTGGCTCTTTTATGACTCGTGGATTTCAACTCCCAGAATTCCTGAGCCAGCAGTACTACATTGCACTAAACTAACTCTCGTATTATTGCATATTATTATGATCATTAGCATCATGGATGTTTTTATGCATACCTAGAGATTTTTTTTATTGTTGTTATATGCCACAAAAAGACTTTAATTTATGGTAGGATTGAATTTAATATCATGCAATAAAACATTTAAAAGTAAAACAAATATAGATTTATGTAAGGACATTTTAAATATGGCCAATCTGCTGTCAAAAATCTGGATAACAGACAAAATCTTTAGGAACTCCCAACTGTGGAGGTAAAGTAAACTTTGGCCTCCAGGGCAAATATATGAAAAGGAAGAAATGTAGTTATCCCATCCTTAATTGTTCATATTTGCTTCTAATCATAATGAGGGATAGAAGAAAGATGGAGTACATAATTTATCACTCAGTATAATATCTAAAAATCTTGCCACATCTATGAGTATTTGGTATTTTAAATTTTTGTAGGATAATTTTTAATGTTAATCTCTTTTATTCCCATTCAATGCTTGTATTATTTTGTATTTTTTACATGCAATGTCACCATATTCTTTCAGCAAGACTAATCACAGATTTCCTTCTGTTTCTGCTAATATCCTGCAGTTAAATAGCTTGTAAAAATATGTGACGTTTAACCTGAAGATGGTCCTTATCTCCATTGCCTTTCTTCCCTATTGATACTAAAAACAACTGAAAGAAAAAAATCTATTTAAAAGGAAAAACAGATCTTTATTATTTACATAGGGTATTTGTATGAGATCCATTCCTTTTAACACTTTCCGCAGCTATTACAGACATCTAGTAAAGCAGCCGAAGTACAATTAAAACAATCATTAAAACAACAAGTCAATAGATTTTAGAACAATTACAATCCTCAAGTACATAAAACAAGTAAAACAACTGAACCAATTCATAAACAGGGATATCTGGTTGTCACCTAAATCAGGGGTCCCCAACCCCCGGTCCGTAGACTAGTACTGGGCCGCAGCATGCCAGCAACTGGGCCACACAAACAAGCAAAGCTCCATGCACGGGATGCAGGCTGCACACAAAACCACACACCCTCTGGTCTGCGGAAAAACCTCTCTCCACGGAACCAGTCCCTGGTGCCCAAAAGGTTGGGGACCTTTGGCCTAAACTGTAATAAGAAGGGAGTTTCCTTAACTCTATGGCAATTTATTCTACAACATGGCCACTGACAACAGAGAATGGACCACAGTTGTCAGAGCTATCTGTGAAGGATATTCTTCAATCAATACCATTTTGCCATTAATCATATTTAAAACATAAATGTATTTTAATATGCCAAAATACTGAATGTCATTTTTTTGGCATTACTGGAGAAAAGAGTAACACTGAAATTCAGTGTTCATGAATTACAAAAGTGGATTGAAAACAATTAAAATTCTAGCAGTCATATTTCTTCAAAATTGAATTTTGGAAATTTGGGTAAACACCAAATAAGTGTTTATGGGCACACAGCAGCATAGTCCTAAGCTTATTTAACCAAAACACAATAATAAGCATGCTGACACATTTAATAAAATATTTTCCCACTGATATGAATAATAGAGGTTTTTCTTAGCTAATGCCTATCTCTATTGAAGCATATTAATATTCTAAATCTTGTGAAAAATTATCCATAGAGTTATTTTAGTTTATGAATGTTTTCTATGGATAATAATGACAGCAGTTGTAATAATGTAGGGTTTGAGTTAATCCTAAAATAGAATTTATAGGATTAGAACATTTGACTTCAAGTGTGACCACTTCTGTTTATAAAACAGATGTAAATCATGTTAAGCGCCAATAAAGGCTTTTGGAACTAAACAATAATTTGCTTTGTGTGTTGCCCAATTTTTAAAAAAATGTACAGATGACCTGTACTTTGCATTACTGGACAGCAATAACATACCCTCTTACCTGAGAATATACTTCAATAAACCTAATGGAATTTACTTCAGATAAGTAATAGAATAGACTGTTAATGAGTTTTGAATCCATCACACTGCTAGTAAAATAAAATAAATTTGGAGCATTATATCCTTACCGGGCAAAGTAGCTTTGCTTTCGTTCTTTTTTTTCTTCCTTGATCTCCATAGCAACTAGTAAAAAAGTACAAGGAAAAGGGGCAAAGGGCTTCCAGTTAGCACCTCATCTCTAGGCAGAGTCCTTGCACTAAGGGAGGGAAAAAAACAAGTCCATAAATTAATCTGTTGGCAACATCTGGTTTGTTTGCAAAGTTACAGCTCACAATCTCACAGCAAGTACATTTTAACCTGGGAAAGCCAGTTTCATGTCAAAGAGTTTATTGTACCTAAAACAAAAAAAGAAAAAAGTGGAAGAAAAACAACTGCCAGGTAGGTCTCAGTTCATTGTATGGGAAAAAAATGTTCTAGCTCAGTTCCTTCTAAGCCCAAGAGATACATAGGAGCTTCTTTTATGAAGGCATCTATGAAATCTGCTATCAAATTAATGAAAGGCTTATGAATTAAAGGGATTTTACAAGGGATTCATTCAGAGTTCCTCAGCAATTACCTGAATACACAGCATGATTATTCTTGAAGCTTATTTATCTTTATAATTTATTAGGTACTCTACTGCTAATAGTTCTCAGGAACATGTTGGAGTTTAATTTATAAAATTCATATAGTATTATCCGTCTGCCTGATGACTTGCATAAGAAATCTGGAAAGAACAAAGTGTTGTGGGTATTTTGATGTTTCTACTTGTCTATTGTATTTTGACAGTTGTCTCTCCCCCCCCCCCCCCGCAAAAGTGAACAGTTATAATGGAAAAGGTCTGCTCTTCCAGATGGACCCTTTGTGTTTCCAATCATTAGCACATTAACCTAAAAAGAAAAACACAAAACAAAACCAGGATATAACCAAGAATGGCAATATCAACTTTAGCCTCTCTCATTCTGAAAAAACAAAATGGTTAGATAGCCTGGAAAGAAAGCAATGGGCACACAGAAGGGTCCAAAATTTATTTTAAGACAGATCTTCGGTAGACCATTAGAGTATTTTAACAAACAGCGAAGTGTTTTAAGTGCGCTTAACCACCTTGACTGAAGGAGAAATCTTAGAAAGATTTACTTTTCCATTTTCAGGGAGCTCTGAATACCGCAAAACTCCCACACTGGAATTGAAGTCAAAAGGTACATTTGGAAGCATGTTGGTGTAATACATGTATGTATACATTCAGATTTTTTTAAATAAATAAATAAATAAATAAATAAATAAAAAGCAAACTTATACCTGATAGTCCCTCTCCCCCCCCAAAAAACCCGATTTGGAGGTTTGACATCTGGAAACTGCAGGATTGGCAAAAAAAAAAAGAAACAACTAAAATAGAAGACTAATGTCTGATTATTATTTCCAAAGCTGGAATACAGAAAAAATCCTTTTTTTCTTTCAAATAAAACTTCAGTTTCTGAAAATTGTGGTACAGGTGGTTACTGTCCCAAATCCCACATATGTAGCATATATGTAGCTGAAGAACAAGCAGTAACCTCGCAAGGAAAACATTCAAGCACAAGCATCTCCATGATTGATGGTTGCAATATATTTTCATTTGCCACCAAAAGATAAGATAACCTTTATTGTCATTTTTTTACACATCAAAAAGAAGGCCACCTGAAGAGACTAGACGCATTTGAAATGTGGATTTACAGGCGGTTGTTGGCTGTTATGTATAAGCTGGGTTGACAAGATCAGAAATGAGGAGTGATAAGCCACCTGGGAAAGCCAAGGGAAATCATCAAAACAATTAAAAAACAAAAATTAGAATATTTCGGACATGTGATGCGACACCCAGAAAAATACGGCATACTCCATTTAATCCTCCAGGGAAAGATTGAAGGCAAACGAGGTCCAGGCAGAAGAAGAACACTGTGGCTTCAAAATCTAAGGGACTGGTTTGGACAAAACTCAGCAGCACTTTTTCGTGCAGCTGCTGATAAAAACAGGATCGCCAACATGATCACCAACATCCGATAACAGATAAGGCACAAGAAGATGATCAAAAATGAAATTTAGTTGCCTGCTCTCAAAATGAAACACATACATGACACACACCTAAACATACTATGCACAACATATGTATATACCCACACCCCTACATATACATAGCAAATAAATATTAAATACTGTCCATCTTGAATATATAATGGAAGGAGGAAGCTTGAGAGTTCACAAGATTAATGCTGTATGGAATGAGCCGGTGTCTGAATGTCCTTCCTTGTGAGGTTAACTGTTTGTTTTTCAGTTACATATGTCACATTTGAGGATTCTGCAAATTCAGAAATTGGCTGTATGAACTGCCTAACTTCTTATGGCCCCTTGTGGTTCATCCAATCAGCAAAGGCATGACATCAGTTTCAAGTGAACAAATCTGTTATTATTAGCCTGCAGTCTAAGAAAAATACAGTAGTTGTCTCAAATGAAGGAAGCAGACAATTACGTACTCTGTGACCAGCAACAATCAGAGTACACCACAACTGACCGATTTCTTTCTCCAGGAAGAACAGCCACCTAAATAAAACTGGATGCTCCTGAAAAACTGCTAGGCTAATGAGAAGTCAAGGAGTTAAGTGTAGCCTGGACACCTTGTGGAGAGCTAGTTAGAAAACTACTTTGAGAAAAGACAAGAATGCTGTTATTTCTGAATGCTTCAATTTAAGTAATTTGTCTTGACGGTAAGAAAAACTCAAGAAGACAAACAGCTTCAATAGACAGACAAAGCCCTGGTTGGGGGGGGGGAACTACTGGACTAACCCAACTGAGCATATTTTCTTGCTTTTTTTTTTTCTGCAGGACGTTTTGATGGGTAAATCCTAATTCAATGAACTGGGCACGATTCATATCTGAACATAAATCAATTTTATGTTTTAGGTTTTATGTTCAGTACACCGATGATTCTGCACTCAGGATTCTGCATTGATGATGCTGCATAGTTTGGTAATGAAATGTATGCAAGAAAAAAAAAATCAAGGTCAGAGAGCACCAAGGATCCCAGAGTTTTGTGTTCTTTTGTTTTTTCTTCTTCTTCATTTTTAATTTTAAAAACTAACGTATTGCCTTTTTCTCACCAACATGAACTCAGATTGACATGACTACGAAAAATAGCAGTCTAAATCAACTGTAAAGGGAATATACTGCAACAACAATTTTTTTACAGTTTTGTTACAACTAATCAAGAAGGCATAATCCATAGTACAGTTTGCTTCTTTTAACAGGAAAGGTATTTTCACATTTAAAAATATATCTGGGGTTTCCTTGGTGCACTCCGAGCTTGCACTAGAAGTACGTTCAGCACTGATGATTCTGCAATAATGATGTTATCAACTTTGACTAACTGCATTGTACTCGTGTCAGAAGCACCGAGACTCTTCTGCATTGAAAGGATTAACCAGTGACATCACCTTTGCCTGGAGGATGCCCAACTGGGGCAGGCAACCTTGGCTTTTATGACTCGTGGACTTCAACTCCCGGAATTCCTGAGCCAGCGTGAAGTCCACGAGTCATAAAAGAGCCAAGGTTGCCTATCCCTGAATTGGGGGCTCCTTCATGTCCCGAGGTGGAGCGAAGGACTGGAGCTTGCTCCACCCCATGGCAGCACTTGGGTCTCGAACGCAAGCTTGCTAACCTCCAAACCAGTGTCCTAACCATGTGAGCCACCCTGCTCCATAGTTTGGATAATGAAACATCTTCTAGAAAACAACCATGCTCAGAGAACACAAAGAACCCCTCATTTCAACCTCGAGCTACAAATATTCTTCTTTAAAAATATATCTTCTGAGAGGAAATATGCAGTTGCTTTTACCCTTTCAAGATGTCTGCCACTGGAAACAAGAACTTTTTTCACTTTTCTCAGGAAAAATAGGGTAGTACAGAGAGCATTACACCAGGGTGGGGAGAGGGGAAGCTGGCTATATAAATCAGACAGGCAGGCAGAAAGGAAAGAAGAAACAAAGGAATGAAGGAAGGAACGAAGGAAGGAAAGGAAAGGAAGGAAGGTAGTGAATAGGTAAGTAGGTAAGCACTATAAGGTTTTAGAATAATCAAGGAAGTATCTGTTTTTAGGCCAAAAGGTAACTAACTCATTGCCATACTGTTTTTAATTTCTCAATGGGTGAGTGTGTACATGTATGTGTACTAAGCATGTTTGAGTATATGTAAGAGAGATATCGCTTATCATAATCAAATAGAGATTCTGCTGCCAAATGGGGCTCTGTGCTGGCTAGGGAGTTTTAGTCCATTGCACCAAGAAGTGGTCAAATTACTGTATGGCAAGCTGTCTTACTCTTTTCGTTTCTTTTTTTTTTCTTCCAATATGTCATTGGCATAACAGCACATCTCATTCTTTCCTGCGTCCAGAAGAATGAGATATAATTTGGTATTTCACAATTGGGACCAGAATCTCCACTGCTAAGCAAGGCAGTTGATGAGTGAGTCTTGTCACAAAAGGGGCTCACATGACCCCAGGACATTTCATCTGTCATAAATATGAATCAGTTGCCCAGTGTCTGAATTTTGATCATGTGACCATGGGGATGCTGCAATGGTCATAAGTGTGAAAAACGGTCATAAGTCACTTTTTTCAGTGCCGCTGTAACTTTGATTGGTCACTAAATGAACTGTTGTAAGTCAAAGACTAGCTATATATTCAGTGCCACTGTAACTTCCAACAGTTGTTAACAAATGTTGTAAGTCAAGGATTATCTGCACAGATCTAAAACTGAGATCAGTGACTTCTCCCAAGGTAAATAGCAAACACACAAGTTAAACAATTACAGATTTCAAGAGTGTGACACTTAAAATGTCATATTGTTAAGCAATCCCTATTTCCTGGACCACTGAAATACCCCAAGGCTATAATTTCTGTATTCTTTAAACCTCAGACATTGCAATTATCTGTTATAACGAAATTTCTTCTTCTGAAATTAAAACATTCACATTTCATGGAATAACCTTTTACATTACAAAATCTCTTATCTCGACAGCAGCTGCCAAGTTAACAGCTTTTATTTAGTTCTCTTGGTATGGACATAAGAAATCTAAGCAAAAGTATTTATTTTGAATACTTAAAACTTTCCAGAAACAATCACTTGTAGTTAGTAGGCAGAACATGGTATGAAAAGCAAGCATCCATGTTGTTGGTTAAATGGTCATGGT